TTTCCACTCCCCCTCTCCTTTCTCCCTCCCCCCCCGCTCTGTTCCTCTCCGCTTGCTCGAGAGGAAGGCCAGGATTGTATGTTACTACCCCTACAATCCCGGCCATGGCGTCCTCTAGTAATGGTTCTTCAGGCGCAGCGCTGTACTCGTCAGAGAGCACCTCGCCAACGACCAGTGACGGCCGAGATACAGCTCCAGCCTGACGGCAGCCAGGCGGGCCTGACCTGCTCCCATTCCCTCGGACGGGCCAGCCTTGTAGGGCGGCGTGCGCACGTCTTTATTTAAAGGCGGCCATTAGGAGTCGTCGTCAGACGGACGCCGGGGGATCGATCCGGGCCATTGATTTCTACCGGGCGCCATCCTGCCCGCCTGCCAGGACGCTGGGGGACGGGTCACCTGTCCGTCCGGCACACCGGGTCCCACGGCTGCCGCCGGACGGCCAGCGGGGTCCCACGGCCGCCGTCAGGGTGACCTGCGCCGGTCCCACGGCTGCCGCTTGGCCACCTCACCACGTCAGTCGGCTCACCGCTACTCACCTGAGCACAAATAAATGGTGACTGCTGGGAAACATTTGGGAGGCATGAAACTTGACACGGGACAGTGGACATGTTTTTAGGAGTACCTACTTCAGCTACTATGCGAAAAGAATGTCATGTTTGAAATTGAATTGATGCGCTTAAGTTGTGTATGATGATAAGATGACAGTTTTGGGGATAAGTTGTTTCAACAAGAGTAAAAAATATGTGCATGAAAAGAAACATATTTTAACTGGGAGCCAAACCCTGACCTCGCTTTTCAACATCAGTCTGGCAGTTGCAATCAGACTGCGTCCTTACAAAACGCAATTTAATTATTTCAATTTCCAAAACTTTTCTGCTAAGCCTTTCCTTGCCCTCTTTCTTCCTAACAGACGGACACGGTGCCGTTGGCTGCGTCGTGCGTCCCTTCCCACGGTCCCACGGTCTTTGTGCCATTTCCTGGCGCACTTTGACAGCCGTCCCGCCGTTTTCCGGCGTACCCGATGCGTGTTGAGGCCGTACTGGGGCTGGCTGGGCCGAGCTCCGTCTGTTATCTGACGAGCGAATTCGGCAGCCCTCTGCCATGCTCTGTCCATCGACGCCCTAAACGATACCCGCATGCTGCATGGCTGGAGCGCCTAGCAACACCACCAAACGCTGGCCAGTTTCGATCAGTATGGATTCAAGCTACAGGCTATCGACTTTGTGATCCCGCCTCCTTACACCAGCCTGAAATATTGCCAGCAGTCTCATCTTCGTGGAATGACCCATCGGGCATGCGGTCCGGATATCTGAACTGAACGGTCCTGCCTTCAGTCTCGCCTCGGCTCAATTATTCCGCCCGTAGTCTCACCTCCATGAATTGACCAGTCCTGCTTCCAAGGTCTCTGATCCGTGGATTGGCCGAGCTGGTATAAAATCTCACCTCAGAGGACTGAGACCGGTCCCTCTAGCAGTCTTACCTTTGTAGCTGACCGATCCTGCCTGCAGTCTCACCTCTGTGGACTGACCGGTCCCGGGGACGCCGATTTCAAACACAAATGGTTGGATCAATGGGCCGAGGGCTTTCGGAGAGCGGCGGCGGCGTTTAATGGCGTTGTGAGGATCAGACCGGGCGCTGCGACCTGAGGTGGCGGCGCCCGTATAGAGCGACACGGGCCACGAACCGAACGCGGGGAGACCTTATCAGGGTGGCGGGCGACAGCGGCCGGTGCCAGTTTCAGGAAACCCGGGTGGGTCATCAGCTGTATCTGCTAGGGGGGATTCATTGAGAAACATGCATATTTGCCCGACAAGTTGCAAAATAAACATCGCGATGGCAAATTGTCAGATACGAGCATTTATATTTTACCCCAGTTATGCTACGATCCATGGTTTTATAGGATCTATGTACACCGCTACCCATCAACAATATTTTTTACTGATATGCCCATGAACAGGTGACCGAGTGCCATCATCAGCTCAGACCAGCGACTCACAGCACCTTATGTTAACACTATTGATCCTGTGCCTTATATTTAATATCGTCATGTCACACCCAACTTTCATATGGCTTGGCTTCGGCTGGGCTCGGCATCCCTGACTGTAGGTAACTTTAGATGTGTTTATGAATTTTTGACTTCGTGTGGTCGTGAAACTTCGCTGACATTTCCTGGTAAGCACGGAGATGCTGTTCTTTCCCTCTCGTTTTCTCCTCCTCTTTCGCTTCTCTTTCTTTCTTTCTCTCTCTCTCTCTCTCTCTCTCTCTCTCTCTCTCTCTCTCTCTCTCTCTCTCTCTCTCTCTCTCTCTCTCTCTCTCTCTCTCTCTCTCTCTCTCTCTCTCTCTCTCTCTCTCCCGTCCCCTCACCCCTTCCTTTCCCTTCCTCCCTGTCTGGCTCTGTCGCAGGTCCCGGCGGCTCAGCGCCCCTGTCCCCGTTGGAACTCCCATCACGCGTTGAGCCGATATCGAGCGCACGGAACCGTGCCGGCCGACTGCCCAGTTAACGGAAACCGACGCATAACAGCCGGACACCAAACGGCCAGCGATACTTAGCGGTGGTCACCTGGCATTCGCCTACAGTTCATTAGGCTCTGATCGAAACTGGTGCATTTGGTTTATAATTTATGGTGCGAGCTGGTTTCTTAGCTGAACGTTGGCTTTCCAGTCTCGTTGGTTGTACGGCTGCCCCGCATTTTAATGGTTGTTTTCTTTCCCGAGAAGGTATCATTATCGTAAGCCTGCTTATCGAACGGTGGTGCCAGCATGTATTTGCTTTCAAGACAATTTTCCCGGCTGTTTCCCTGGAGAGGGAGGTGTGAATGAGTGAGCACCTTCTGAATACGCTCGGCTCGGGGTAACTGGCCTATGGGCCGGCTGCCGGTGGGGTGGTGGTCGCCGGGCCGTCCCTACGCCGCCGCCTGCAGCAATTACAGCCAACCAATAATCTGAGCGGCGTCACCCCCGTATTGCCATGCAGGGCACAGACGACGGCGCATACATGGCCGCGAGGAAGGGGGCGTACGGGGTTTTTCATTGTGGCGTGAGATGCTTACTGACCGAGTGTGGGCGGCGGCGGCGGCTGGCGGCAACCTGACCGGTCAGTGTCACTGGAACTGGGGCGGTGCCCACCGGCAACGCCTGGTAAAGCCCCAGAGGTCTAGCAAGTTAGTGTCAACTAGCATTACTTCACTTCACATTGGAATTTAACATTCAATTAAACTTTTTATAATTCAGAATTCTGACCTGAAACAAGCACCGATGGCTGTTGTTAGCACTTGTTTATAGCCAACTCTTCCTCAAGCGGTGCTGCCGCGTGTTACTGGCTGGATGCCAAGTAACCTCACAAGTTTGTAAGTTAACGCGGAGTCTGGGCGGGGAAGGATCACTGCTGAGGCTGCGGCAGCGATGGATGGCCACTGAAGGAGGATTTCACACCAGTGGCGGGCGCCGGCTCACGACGGCCTTTCGTCGGCCGCCAGACACACGGTCTGCCTCCATAGTGGCTCATCGGGGCCGACCGGCGCACTTCGTGTGGCGGCGCCGCGTTGTCCGACGGCTGCGGCGCCAAGCCCGCCGGCCTCATTTGGGCATATGAGGCCACTGACAGCCGACTGGGGGAGCCGGGCGCGCGGTGGGCGCTTATCTCGAGTGGAGAGGGGCGGCCGACCGTGAATGGATGGAGTGTGAGGAGAGCTATCTTGGTTTGCCGTAATTAAGTTCACTCGTGACGGCTAAGTGCGGTCTGCTGACTCTGCGGATGGGCTTAGCAAAGATGGGACATGGACTAAAATTTTTACATCAGCCCAATTAATGATGAACCAATTTGCCTAGTATTGCGTTATTTGCAATTTAAGTATATAATTTTTTAAAGAACATCATTTTATCAAAAAAAGTAGTTGTTCGCCACTTGGCTAAAATGGCCACGCATTGCCTATCATTATATTCTTCAATATTATCAACATATTCGTTAATCTTCTATGCTGTCGAATGTCGAAAGCATTGTACGTCGAACCCATAGGTGGACAGGTCAGACCCATCAGATCCACGGGGCGGCCGGTGAGCGACCCCACGTCGGAACTGACGACTTGCAGAGCAGCCCCCAACTGGACTCTCAGCCCGTCCTTCACTAAAGGACCGTTATGGGCCGTGACGGCAGGTCATTTAGGACTGTTTACATTCCCAGCTCACCCCGATCATCGTACGGCTGCGGAACCCATTGATCGTATCGCATGTGTGGTATCAATAAGGAAGACAAATGCGCTGTTTTTTTTTAAGCATACAATGACACTTGATTAGAAAACAACCCATGACCTGCCAGCGTAACTCTGATGTGTGCCTCAGAATTCATTCCCCAAGAGTCAGCATTTCAACATGTTTGCGTAGTAGTTTGATTTCATTCAAATGTTGCTTCTTTAATATGCTCTGTACGGTTTTTGTGTACTGTGATCTTTGAAACCTGACCTAACCTCAACCTTTAGCCATTGGAGTTCTTGATAGATAACCTTAAAGGAGATCCGTGGCGAGGTGCATTGGAGGCGTCTTAGCCGTCGGCTGGTCGTGCCTTTGAATAATTCTACAGGAGTTTAATTTTGTAGGGACTTCTGAAATAATCATGACGTTAAGAGCTGTGAGACCTTTCTGAGGTCACGACACCTGGGCATTCATTCTTCGTGCCATGCACGTCTTGCGCTGTTTTATGCATTTTGGAAAGGACAGTGAAACAAATAAAATGAAATCAACGTTATTAAGTGCATTATTCTTAGCAATGGCTTTCGAAATGAGCTTAATTTTTTTTTTTTAATTTAGTTGATAACAGCATCTTCGTCCTTTGCTACCTTGTCATCTCACCTTGATCATGTCAAAACTTTGCAGGCGAACTTCCTTCAATTAAGCACCTCTCGCCGTAGGCAAAACTTTCCCGATGAACATACCGAGTTGAAATTGGTCCGATCAAACATTGTGTTTGAGCTCGCTGTTGAGTCGCGCTGCCTGCTGTTTTGCAGTGATCAGCATCCGAACGGCGTCGACGACCATCAACTGCAAGCTGGCGAGAGAGTTGTGTGAGAAGGACCGCGTCTGCCATTCCATTACGGCCATCATCCCGCGACTCTGCGGACAGGAGCTAGGTGAGAAAACGACTCTCTGCGGACAGGAGCTAGGTGAGAAAACGACTCTCTGCGGACAGGAGCTAGGTAAGAAAACGACTCTCTGCGGACGGGAGCTAGGTAAGAAAACGACTCTCTGCGGACAGGAGCGCGAGGTGAGGAAAACGACTCTCAGCGGACGTGAGAGTCGTTTAGGTGAGAAAACGACTCTCTGTGAACAGGAGCTAGGCAAGAAATAGGCACCTTTTGGTAGGAAATCGATGGGAAATCACGAAACGCATACAGCTGGCTGCAACTGCGGCTGCTGGAAGCTGAGTGGTAAGCACCAAAGAGGTTTTTACCTTTTACGGCTTTTTCCTTCATCTCATTCTCAATCGGTTCTGTCTTTGTATTCGTTTCTGCCTTTGTCTCTGTTTTTGTCTCCGTCTATATCTCGTTCTATGTTTATCACCGCTCATGACTATTGTCTCGGCCATTCCGTTTCAGTGCCGTTACTAAAATGGACATAGACTTATAAGTGCATGCTTCACAAACGTGTACCGTTCCATTTCAGTGTCGTGCTCGACGGTGACGGTGACCAAGTGTCGGGCGGCTCTGAGGACACTGGTGGCCTTCCAGTTCTTCCAGCCCACCTGTCTGTGCAAGGAGCAGCGCGTCGACCCCGAGTGTAACACCTACCGCAACCTGGTGTTCGACCACCCCTGCTTCGGAATGCGCAGTCAGGGTATGTGAAATATTGCATCTTTACGACCCATGTAATGACGGAAGTGAGTGTCCAAGGGAAGCTATGTCCTCGTTGCAATAGCTAAATGATAATTTATGCCTCAAATGGAAGTCCAATGGGACCCACAAAGACGCTTCGTGACAGCCTTTAGCTAATCATCGAATGCAATGTCTGATCAAGAGGTTAAGCGACGATTGTAATGGCCTTTGCGTTACATGCTGTTTTTATGGATTCCTTTCGCTCGGATTTTGTAATAGGATTAACCCTCGCCGGCCGAGGGGGGGGGGGCGGGTGCCGCCCCCCCCCCCATAGGGTTTTTTCGCGATAGCTCCGAACACGCCGGCGGTAGAGAGCTGAAACTTGGCATACCTGACCTTTGATCCAAGCCGCATCTTTTGACACCAACCGCATTTTTGGGTCAGGTCAGGTCACTGACCTATGACGTCATAAGTGAACCTCTGCACGGTCTTCAGATGTCGCAACTTCGCAACGCCCTCACTGCCAGAGGAGATGTCACAGGGAAATGAAACTTGCAGGATCTAGTATCCATTATGAGTCTCACAACTTTTATATCTCGGATTTTTCCTAAAGGTCATATGAGGTCAGGTCATTTTCGTGACCTCACCATTATAAGTCAATGGGGAAAAATCCAAACTGCTATTCTGGCGCCGGGAACGATCTTCAACTATCTCAAGCACACAGAATCGTGATTTGATGCACTCCTTGCAAGGTTAGATGCGTCACTTTTGCAATGTTGACCTTTCGTGACGTCATTTATGACGTCATCAAGGTCATATTAGTTTTTCGTCAATAACTCTTGATCAAATTGAGCTAGCGAGCCGGGAAAGCCACCAATGGACTCAGGAAGACCTGCCGAATCCAATGATATGCGACATGACCCCTTTCGACCAACTTCGTGACCTTAGGGTGCTGACCTGACCTTGACCTGAGGTCAACACCCCAAGTTGACCTGACCCGAACAAAAAGTATATCATTCGACGCGCCTGAGCGAGGCGAACACGATGCTGCCAAAATCGCGGCTCTGCGGCCATTTTCCGCGAAGTTATTCACCAAAAACTGAACCGTACCTTTGGGCACTTGACCTGACCTCAGAGGTCACCGGTTGACCTAGGACCTTAAAATCGGGTACCAATCTCTGCGTCTCGTAACGGCGCACACGCTCGTTTTTTCCGCGACGCGCTAGCTCCACCAGGGGCGAAACGGCGAGGGGGGGGGTCGTACCCGCCCCCCCCCCCTCGGCCGGGGCGTATGTAGAAAACCAATAGGTCCGGCGAGGGTTAAAAGTTTGTGAGTGCTGAAAAAGGATTGTAGAAAGTATTCTCTTTTCAGATAACGACCCGTACCCGGTCCACGCCCTGCCGACCTGCGACTACGCCCTGGACGCCTGCCGAAACCAGGAGCAGTGCGCGCCACTGTACGACAACTACTTGAAGGCGTGTCCGTTTGAGCTGGACGAGTGCCACATGACGAACAGGTACGAAATCTACTGATGGATAGATAGGAGACTGATAGACAAACAGTTAATGTGCTGCTAACAGGCAAACAGGTAAGGGACCGGCAGAGAACGGGATATGACACTGATATAACAAAGGGAACTAGTGAACTAGTAATTGTGCAAAATGACATTCGAGATATAAGAGTATCAAATGCATGATATCCGAGGGATTTAATACGAGTTGTAATCAGCTGACCGGCTAAGATAATTACAATCTACAGCTACTGCACTGCTACTATTACAAGCTACTGTAGCAAGGTCATTCAACTTATAAAAAGACCTCTTTATGCGCCATACGCAAGCGCGCGGCTTCTAGCAGTATGACGTGATCCGCGGCTGCCGTACCAAGGACATATACCTGGTAGCGTAAAGCACGTCGATCGTAGTTCAAACACCTCCCTAGTGAATCCCCGCCGGCACTGGTGGGGTGCTCACCCTCCCGTGTCAATAGCGCCTACGGGACCACCATTAATATAGACTAGCGTTCGCCAGCGAATCGGTGACGTCTTGCCCCTGGGGAGGCCAATTTGTCGGCTCATTTGGACCAGATTTGTGCCGAGCTAGGCTGAAAAGCTGACACGCTGCTCCTGGGTGGCGCGGCTTTGCGACACGTCACCCGGCGTCCGTGACGGCTGTCCGTCTGACAGCTGGAACTTGACGGTGGTGCTATCTGACAATGGTATTTCTTAGTACGATCTGATAGTGGTGTTAAATGGCAGCTTATAGTATGCTCTACGTTCATCATGTGGTCAGTGACCGGCGGTCATTGGTCGGTCGTCAGAACACTGCTGTCAGCGTGGAACGGTCAGTGGTCAGTTTCCACCATGGTTACTAGTCGCTGGTCGCTGGCCAGCTACGCGTCGGGGTGGCATTTCTGACGACCGCCGACACGGCGTTAATCACCAAGATCGTGTGTGGTTCCCTGGCGGGGGCGGGGGCGGGGGCGGGGGCGGGCGGCCCCGCCTGTCGCCGCTGACGGTCGTCGTACCAGTCGGCGGGCGGCACCGCCCCCCTGCCCCCCCCCGCCGCGGCGGACCATATCGGCAGACTGACTGAAATGATGGTCGGCACGAGATCCGGTCCGGCACATGGAAAAAACACACACCACCGACCGACAGCGAACACAGGAGCTCAGATGGCGAAAATTTCGAGCAAATGGCAAAAAGGCAGGGAATTTAGAACTCGCAGGGACTGAAATTGGGCATGGAGGCAGGTGGAACGCGGTTAGGTATTTCATAGGGGTAAATACAGGTGAAAGCTGACGGCTGGGGAATTGGAACTGACCATGGCAGACTGACCTTATTATGCAGTTCATGGTTTTCAAAGTGGCGGTGTCCTGGCCATGTTTGGTTACAGGAAATCCACCGTCGCTCAATCTGCAGCTATTACCTATAAGGTTGTAGACTGGCTGTGTGCAAGTGTTAGTGTCAGGTTGTCGGATAACTTCGTATGCTTATCTAATTATAACTGCGGCGGCTGCACTCTGATATGGCCCTATAGATGGAACAGAGCAGTCAAAATAGGGCTACAGATCGCGGCCTCCTGTCCGTGTCTCGTTCCTAATCACTAAAACATGCATTACGGTATATGAATAACCTTAACCGTTATCGACAATCAATAAATGGCACAGGAGCTCTTGGGGATTTTTAGTACGTTGTCGTTTTTGCAGACAACAATACGATACCTTTAAGATTGTGTCGGTAGGCTCTAAAACAATGAGACAAATATAAATCCAGCTCTGCCCCTTCCCCATGACTTTCTGTGAAAAAAATCAAAACACGAATAATGTATATATTTTCATTTCACTTTACGAGAATCACAGCTCGATGCAATAAGAATGTGTGACGTTACAACACAAGCATGTTAACAACATGTAAAACTTTGCTTTCGCGTATCGAGTGACGTTGATTTACTTTGGGAACTTTAATTACTTTATCTGTTCATTTCAGCTCTGCATGTCTGGACGCCTGGAACCAGCTGAAAATGAGCCCCGTTTTCGGATGTATGTGCACGAACGTTCAGGAAGAAAGTTGTGAGAAAATCTATGAGAAGGTACACAAAAACCCCTGCATTGGTAAGTAGCTGTTTTCACATTTATTGCAGCCGTGAGACTATTTTTTGCACTGTGTGACCATGTCGTTACCTTATATCGTGATGACGCGACATATGGCTAAATGCGTGTACACTTTGCCCTGTTCACTGCACAGGTATGCATAATGTATATTAGCCGTTTACACGGCGGGCTATCCGGCGAGTGCACCTAATTTGACCAAATCTGAGGCCTCTTGCACCAAAATCCTCTTGCACCAATGCTTGGATTATTTTGCATCGTATACCCAGTCCAAGTCTCAAATGTAACAATTTGCGTGCAAAATTTAGCAAGCACATGTAGGATTATGTATTGGGCTATTGCAAATAAATTTACCGCCGTTAGATTAGCTTATTCTGAAACCGGTTTTTCGATTTTACCTAGCTAGGTAGTTTGGTGCAAGAGGCCTCCGCACATAATCTCTTTTACAGCAAAAATCTTCATTTTATGAATTTATTTCAGTGTTTTAATCGATGATACTCTCTGTTAATATGACAAAGCAGGTACCGTTGTTTGGTCTAACTTTGGACCGTGTGGGTAACTTTGTTCCACGAGGAAAAAAATGGCTAAATTTTAATCAGCTTAATACCTATGCGCGAGAAATGGCATTTTTGGGCCGGAACCAATGAAGTAGTCAATGATAAACCCAGGGACACAAAAAATTACGTCATCATGTCGATTTTGGATTTTCTAGATTTTTTTTTGGTGAAGTTCCTTTTTTTCACCCAATATTAAGGTTTAGGTAGGTCCCTGTACGGGGCTCAGATGCTACCAGCCGAATCGACTTTTGCAATTTGCCTGAATAGGACATCATGTGGACTTTGCATTCGACTATTGGTAATTTATTTTCCTCAAACATTTTTTTAAAATTTGGGGGTGGTCAATGTTTATACATATTTTTTGCCGTTAATTCAATAACTTTGGGCCACCCGCAGGAAGGGTACACCATATGATGAAGACACCACATGACACCATATGATGAAGAGGGTCGTCGTGTCGTTCGTTGTGTTCCGTGCCTTTTATTGTGTGTGGTTCGTCGCGTCGTTGGTTGTGTGAAATGTCCCAGCGGGATACGTAAGCGACCTACAGTCATGATGGTGTGCATCATCCCGTGACTATGTTTGTACAATGTACAAGTTTGCTGTTCCTTTTTTAAAAGCCTCTAAGTGGACCAATGCATCCATAACGACCGCTAACATTGATACTTTTGGCTTTTCCATTGTTTTATTGATGCATTTATTCATATGGTACAAAGTTATTTTTGTGCGGGTAGCATTGTGCCACTCTAATTTCAAAAAAATAAATTATATGTCATTATCCAAAAAAATTAAGAGTGACTATAGGTCACCAGCAGGGATGTCACTGCCTTACTGCACAATTTCCTGAACATTTAACAAAATAATTTGGAAGTAATACGAAGAAAAGTCAAAAACTGGTACAAAGTTAGGCCAAACAACGGTATATAAGCAATTAGTGCAACCCCAGCTGATAGCTACTAAGAGACACACTGAACCTAATTTGACCAAATATGCACCTAATCTGCACCAGATGTGCACCAAATGTGTGCCAGATGGCCGTCGTGAAAACGGCTATTGTATATACAAAGAAAAGCAGCTATTGACAACGTTCTTCACAAGCGTTGCTAATTACGTCTTCTGGTATCTTTGAAGAAAAAACAGATCTTAACTTATAACGTAAGATTATCAACAAATATCTTGTCTTTAGTTGATAAAATGTTTAATTTGCAATAAAAAGACAGGCTTGGTACGCTCCACATGCACTCGTTTTCCCATTTTCGCTCAGCTAGTACAGCCATAAACGCAATGCTTAAGGCAATTGCTGACACATAGATCAATGCTGCACCTAGCCTGTTCGCTGTCGCATTGGTAGAACTCTATACTTAATATTTTAGTTGCCAGTTTTTGTCATATCTTAAATAAAATGTTTTGTAAAGATCTTTCAAGAAAGCATTTACCAAGTAATTATATCTATCGCCGTTCTTTTCAGACTGGGCGCACGAGCACGGTGCCGACACCGGTTCTGGTGGCGAACACCGCACGCACTCACCGCTGCACCGCCTGCTGCACCTCCCAGCACCGGCCAGCACCTCCCATCAGCACCTCCCAGCACCGGCCAGCACCTCCCATCAGCACCGCACAGCACCGGCCACCCCTGCACACCCCGCACCCCGCACTCCAGTTCGCACCTCCCGCGCCCCTTCCCCCGGCGCGCGCTATACCGGTGTGTCCTCACGGACTGTTGTTACAGTGAGCGGCCTGGGAGGGGACGAGGTCACCCGACCACTAGCTGAACATCATCTGGTGGCTCCGCTGTACGAGGTAACCTCACAGCGACCCCGGTCATCCGATATCGTAAGGACCCTCTATGGGCCCGATGAAGACGAGGAGCCAGAGAACCCCTTCGCTCCGCCCAAGCTGCCAGAGACGACCAAGGGTACGATGTTTAATGATTTTCAATGAGCCGTTAAGTGCTTATTACTTTGTTGAAAACTTACAAAAAAGCGTGAATCGCCATTGAATCTGCCGTTCTATCCTATGAGTCATCTCTATTGGATTTTTTTTTTTTATTTTTGTACGTGTAGTCTGACTTGGCGTTTGTTTCCGGCCCAGTTGATCTGGTGACTGTGAGTTCGGTCGACCTGGAGTCGGCCGGGCCGGTGCTGCAGTCGTCCTGTCACACGGCGCTGGCCAACTGTCGCCGGGACCGCCGCTGCCGCCTTCTGCTGGAGCCCATGTTGAACAGCTGCGCGGCCGACTCGTGCCACCGCCAGCAGTGTATGAAGCACATGCAGGAGTTCTACGACCAGTCAGACAGCGTGCTCGTCATGGACGCCGCACTCTGCGTCTGCCGGTGAGATTCATTACTTCAGAATGAGTTAATCGTTTCACCGCCAAACTGATTGTGGTGGGAGTCCATCGATAAGATGCATTTAATTCGCATTTCGCAGTATTGAGCAGTGAATATGAAGTGTCATGGAAAAAAGAACGTCTTATTTGGTCTGAAAAGTTATTGACAACAGTGAATACTAGTGAATTAGTGCACAGAAAACTATGATGCTGAAAGTGCTGTGCTCGTATTTGCAGCCGGAGCGACGCGGGCGAGTCGGGCTGCGTGGCGGCCATGCAGCGGCTGCACCCGTCGTGCGCCAGCCAGCCGGAGGGCGGCCGGCTGCCGTCGTGTCTGCGGGTGGCGCGCCACTGCCGCCGCCAGTGGGACGGCCGCTGCCGGCCGCGGCTCGAGCGCTACGAGCAGGCGTGCGCCGTGGACGTGGTGACGGCCCGCTGCGCCGGCCCCAGCGAGCACTGCCGGAGCGCACTGCTGGCCGTGCTCGGTACCGAGCTGCACAGCCACTGCGGCTGCCACGACGCGCCGGCGGCCGGCTCCACGCCCGGCCAGCACAGCTGCCACGACTGGGAGCGCCTCCTTTGGGCTAACCCCTGTGTCGGTATGTGGGCTGTGGGAAAACGTCTGCTTCAATACACAACCGCATGTGGGCTAGCGTGTGTGTAGGCCCTTGTATGTTAACACGCGCAGTGGAAGGGGGGGGGGCGGATTTCGCCCACCCCTCCTGTTTTTCGCCAATAACTCGCGCCGCAAGCATAACATCAATGTGAAATTTCGGCTACTTGTCCAGAATTGAATTTCGGATCTTCTCGTGCAAGAAGTAAGAAAATCGGTTCACAACTTTTCTAGTAATAGCGGTGTAAAGTCAAACATCCTGCCGCCGCGGCGGCGCGGCGGCGCGGCGGCCGGCGCTAGCCGTTACGCGCCGCCTGAATTGTAGACTGTGCCGGGGCGGGACGGTTCCGTCTTTACATCGCGCTCCTTACCGCTGATTATATTAGATTCGCGTCAAATTCGGTGAGAAGACTGAGAAATGTACAGGCAATCATATGGTCAAAGAATTTTGAAAATCAGCCGGTAACAACTTGAGTTATGAGTGTGTAAACACAAAATTGTGATTGCCGCGTTTCCCGCGTCGGCCGATCCCGCTTCAGCCGGCGACATCTTACCCTTAGCAGGCTTCTAACTGCCATATTTATTGTTGGATTATCTAGAAATTCACCATACATACTCACAACTGTTTGTTCTTTCGTATAGTGAAAGATTAAAGAACATCGGCCGGTAACTTTTTGAGTTATCGGCGTGTAAACGCAAAAAAGTCGCTAATTTGTCAGATTTGACCACATTTGACCTCATTTGACCTTGAAGATATTGACCTAGGGTCATGAAATTCACACACAACAGAGTTCCCCATGGCCTTCACCTACCCTCCAAATTTCGTCTTTCTAGCTCCAGTGGGAGCTGAGATCTTAGGGGGGGGGGTGACATCCGCCCCCCCCCCCCTTCCACTGGGCGTAGTACTCGCAACCCTTCCACTGCGCGTGTTAAACAGATAAGACAAGATTCGGACTAAAAAAAAACAGAATAATATTACAAGAAAAGGGCACATCATTTCTAACAAAAGTGCATACAGAGGGACACGACATTCATGCATCATAAATCAGTGGCGGCGGAATAGGGGGTGCAGGGGGTGCAGCTGCACCCCCATCCAAAAACATGGGGGTGCAAACATATCTTTTTGCACCCCCAAAATCCGTACAAGGGGCCCGTCACACCATCCAATACATTTTCTCCTGAAAACCAGTGATCGGGAAAGAACACTGATGTGGGATTATCGGATGTCCAATTATGGTCAGGAGTGCTCCATGCTAGTCTTTGGGGCCCCCACTCCGGCTAGAAGTGTCCCGAGCCGCGTTTGGTGCTCCATGCGGCATCTGAGGGCCCCCACGAGCACGCATGCCTCTGAGGGCCCCAAGGAGACTCCAGGGGCCGCGCTGGCCTCTGAGGGCCCCACGACGGCCTCTGAGGGCCCTTACGATGATCTCTGAGGGCTCTCACGACGACATCTGTCCCCTGGGGCCCTACAACGGCCACTAAGGGCCCTCATGACGACCGCTGAGGGTCCCACAGAAACTCCAGGGGCCACGCTGGCCTCTGATGGCCTCCGCGACGGTCTCTGAGGGTCCTCGTGACGGCCCTAGACCCAACTCAGGTCTGAGGGCCCATTTGGCTTCAGACAGCCCCACGACGGCCTCTGAGGGCCCAACACAACCAGGCTGCAGGGGCTATGCTGGCATCTGAGGGCCCTGCAACGGTCTATCCGGTTGTTCTTCAATAGAAAAACACAATTCTAACGAATAGTGTTTGTCTATTTCAAACAACCTGCGGTTATTGAGGGCCATAACAATGACCTCTGACGGCCTTACCAAGGCCTCTGAGAGCCCTGCAAAGGTCTCTGAGGGCCCATGAAGACCCTCACGATGGCTAAGGACCCTCATGACGACCTCAGATGGTCCTCTCGAAGGCTTCTAAGGGCCCCACAACAACTTCTGAGGGCCCCAGGACGGTCCCTGCGGGGCTGAGGGCCCTGATGACAACCTCTATGGGCCCTCACGATGGCCTGTAAGACCCAAAGCAAGCTCCAAAGGCCCACGCTGGCATCTGAGGGCCCCACGACGGCCTCTGAGGGCCTCGACGCAGGCAGGCTCCAGGGGCCATGCTGACCTCTGATGGCCCTGTGACGGTCTCTGAGAGCCCTCGGCGGCCTCTAGGGCCTAACGAAGGCTTCAAGGGCCCACGCTGGCCTCTGAAAAACCCTACGACGGCCTCGGAGGGCCTCAAATCAACGCAGGCAGGTGCCAGTGGACATGCTGGCCTCTAAGGGCCCCGCAAAGAGCTCAGATTCAGAGGGCCTTCAGAACGACCTTTGTGGGCCCTACGAAGGTCTCCGAGAGCTCACGCAGACTCCTGGAATTCCACACTGATTCTCAGGCCCCATGTCGGCTTGTTGAATCACTTTATCCGCTCTTGGTGCCCCCTTCGTCGGCCTCTGAGAGTCACAACGCCGGAACTTATGGGGCCATGGGCCTTACACCGGCTTTTAGGGCCACTACATCGACTCTTGGGACTCATGACTCATTAAATGTGGGTCTAAGCGGCTTCTAAGAATCCCCATGCAGGTTCTAGTAGCCGCCAGTCGAATATTTGGGCTCACACGCTAGCTCCCACCTCGATAGCACACGGGGTCCCACCCCGTGCACGCTCCAGGGGCCTACCTGCCTCTAAGACCCCACACATTCTTTTGGGGCCCAAACGCTTGCCCCTGAAGGCCCCACTGAGACTCCTAGTCCTTTCCTTTATTCATTCCTCCATACTGGCTCTTTAGGCTAAACATCGGCTCCTGGTGGCCATCCCGGCTTTGGAGGGTCTCCCTCCATACAGGCTTTTTTTGGGTCCGATGCCAGTCTCTGAGAGCCATCAAAAGCCTTTCGAGCCTACGAGTATACTGCTTTCTGAAACCCTTCAGCAACTTCTGAGGGACCGACCCTGGTCGGAGGGCTCATTCGGTCTGGGGAGTCATGTAGGTCTCTGGAGGAGCCTCTAAGGGGTCGGTTTCCAAGGGACTTTTAAACACGGTCTTCTAAGAACGGTCTCGTAGGGCCCTTAATGGTCCACTGCGGATCCAGAAAGGTGGGTTGAGATGCTGCGGGTGGTGGCTAGACTAAAAGAAGATTAGATGATAAAAACTAGCTGCATTTGCTTCTTTATGCTTTCATTATTTGAGATAGGTACACTGTAATTTCAAATATTTTGCAGAACTTGTGTGTTTGGGGATAGTTTTCCAAAATCTTCGTTTTTCATAAAGCAATGATAATCACTCTAAAAAATATAGGGGGGGGGGGCGAAACTTCCAGAGGGGCCCCTTGAGAAAACTTTGCACCCCCATCCGAAATTACCTTCCGCCGCCACTGTCATAAATCGATGCAAAGAATTCGAGTAGCGGCAAGCGCCGCGCTGGCAGTGCAGCGACTCGAGTGGTCACTGGAAGTTATACTGTCCCGCACGGCGTGTATGTGCGGCGGCACAGCCTACCACTCCAGTCGTTTCACCGCGCGGCATCGGCCGCCGTTTTCCGTGCCCGTGCTTTGACGGAACTTGATAGGATTGCGCTCAACTACTTTGAATTCAGCTTTTCCCGCATAAGCTCCTCGAGCTACATTTCTGTTAGGCGCCGGATATTTGATTGCTGTCCAAATCATTTTGGTCTTTGACATGTTGCCTTCGTCCGTTTGGAGTTTGTTATCTGTCGACCCACCTCTGTTTTCGTGTTTTATCCCATATCTGACCACCACTGTGTCAACAGTGGAGGCACAGCGAGAGTTCCACCGGCAGCGCTCTGTCCTTCTGGAGCCCATACTCAAGGAGTACGGGGAGACGGTCGCCCCGAACGGCGGACCAGCCGAGTCGCCATCGCAGAACCCCGCTCGTCGCGTGTCGGATGTCACCATCATCACAACCACCACCACCACAACCACCACCACGCCAGCCACCGCAGCAACCACCACTACCACCACCACTGCTGCAACCACGTCAACCACCAGTGCTACCACCACCAGTACCACGACGGCGCCGCGCTGGCCGGGGGTGGTGAGGGGCGCCGCGCCGCCGCCGGTCCGTCCACCTCGCCCTACGAGTGCCGCACAGCCGCCGCTGCCGGCTCATTGCGTCTCCCGCCGGGAGGGCAGGCCACTGGAGAGGATACCGGTCGGCTCCGGAATCAGGGTGAGTGGCTGTCCGGCGACTGCGAGGGGCATGAGGGGATGAGAAGCGGTCTGGTGAGAGGGTGAGGGATTTTCGAGGTCAATATGTAAGAAAGTGACAGCTTATGTGATAAGGCTGCTTTGGGGAAGAGAAAAGTTACTTCCGAACTACAGCGGTAACTACGTAGATTATTAGGTCGCAACATATTTTTAGTTCACTAAACTTATTAGTTATTTAGAGTGTTAATTGTTTTCTGATTCATCTGTGTGTTTTGCGCACCGTGCTTTGTCGGCAGTATAACCGTCTGGAAGATGACCCGGACGACCCGTACCGGGACGAGGAGGACTGCTCGGAGCTGTGCATGTGCCACGGCCGCGGCCGGCTCGTCTGTAACGTGCTCGACTGTCTGGAGAAGCGCGAGTGTCAGTCGTCACTGGCGCTGTACCACCACGGCACGGCCGGCCTGGTGCCCTACCGAGAGGGATGCGTCTGCCACCATGGGGACTTTATCTGCATGAGACCGCCCGCAGGTAGGTAGCCGAGTGCGACCGCAGACGCCTGAGAAATGTGCTCTTTAATATGCTCTGTAGTCTTTAATGATATCCCGGTCCTGACCTCACGGCTGCATTGAATATGTAACTGAGTGCTAGCCTGAAGGCTGATTGCCGACCTTAGTGGACCCGACCGTGACGTTCGTTTGCTATTTTCCAGATGAGTACACTCTGCCTTTCGGAGTGTTCCTCTTTCTGGGTTACAGCAGAAAAGAGGAGGAGATTCTGCACCCGTACACGCATAAAACGGTCAAAGACCACACTATCACAGAACTGAAGATGCTCCTTTTGAACACCATGCGAGAGATGGGCAGAGACTTCCAGGTAAGTTTCCTTTGAAGGAGTATTGGATTACGTGCAACTCCGGCCTTATCTGCGAGCCTAAATCAATTGCGAAGTAATGTGACTTCCTTCCTCACTTTAAAAATAGCGTAGTGTTTCTTAATCGATGCAATCTATTATGCCTTTTTCTTCTGTCATATTTTTTTCGACAGCATATGAGCTATGGTGGTTTGGTAAGTAACCCACATCCAATCGAACCTCTGTAATTTCACATTGTGTGCAGTAAACCCTGTCTTGTCTTGAGGTGGTGGCTGGTAGTCACTAGTGGCTACCACCTCCGAGTGCCGTCATCTGCAGTGACTGAGGCGCATGTTTCTGGCTTCGTCCACCAGGAGTGGCCGTGTAAGCTGTCCATTCACCAGCGCTTCGAGTCGACAGAGAACATCATAGTTCAGGCGAAACTGGAGGAAGTCGAGAAAATGTATAATCAGAGTCTCAGTCATGACCTCTTGAAAAGGGAAAAGGTAAATATGAGATATAATCCTAGCTTAATTTTGTTCTAACTTAAAACATACTTAGTTGTGTGGTCTTACTGAGAAAGGCTTCTGTTTTACTGAGAAACGCTAAATTAGCGCATGCATTTAACGTCCGCAGAGCCATTCGCAGTTATGTAAAATATACCCAGTGTTACGAATTGATTGCCACATATGCAAGAAACTCATCGGAAGAGAGGCACAATCTGAACCCTGCTCCTTTGGCGAGTATATAATTTCTAATGATAACCATGCATCGTTCCAGGATAAGTGCACCGGTCCCCTGAGGGACATCAGCTACATGATCAACAATCGCGAGCGTTCCATTGTGTCGCATCCTCTCCTCTCCGTCTTCAAGATGGCTGACGTGGATGTCACCACGCCCGACACGTCAGCAGCGGGGCCGTCGCCTCAGTCAGCTGCTGTCCTGCTGCTATTGGCCACACTGCTGGCTATGGGACCCCCAGCGTGACGTCATCAAGGCAGAGAGTGGCCGACGGCCGGACCTGTTGTGGCTCAACCTTGGTGCCGAGCTGGATGGTTACGCGAGTGAATGAAGTCTAGTGTAGCTACAATCGCTGATCGAGAAACAGTAAATCTGCTGCATAACGGGCTTCTCGGCATTCCTGGGAAATGCAGTAGCATAGTGTTCTGATTCTAGATACAATACCGGGAAGTGGCAGAGCCCTGAAGATTTTTGTGACAATATTTGTCGCTTCTATTTTGAGGCTGATGGCCACAGCTGGCTGTGAATTGTTTAGATACAGAACTCGATGCTGAGTAGCCAGTGTTACCGTAAGCACTGACCGTGAAGCAGCGACTCGCGGGGGTCGGGGATCTGGCAGCACCGCGCAAAGCCGGGAGGGCCAGATCTGGCAGCACCCCTGCGAAGCTGGACTGCAGTGGCAGCGATAAGCAATACAAGTGCGAGGCGTCCCGGCTAGGCAGCCGGCGACGGTGTAAACGATATCATGGCTATCAGTGAAGAATCAGATAGTTTGGAGTGTGTGTGCGATGTGAGACGTTGTATAGGCGTTTAAGGGGTGTGATGTGTCATCAGCTGCACATTGTGTGGTGTTGAGAGCTAGGCCCGTCTGCTCCTGTCTCAGTTCCTGGGGTCGAAGGAAGAAGAGCTATACCGAATGATATTGCTTCGATGGTTGCATCATTCCGTTTTCTCGTTCAATTATTTGCTGCAGACGGCCATGGCCTTCGATGACCTGCTGGCTTTATTACATATATCCTCGTAAGGTCATATTTTGACCCTCTTTACACCCAGGTAGCCATGTTGCACTTTTCTCGCACCCAGGCAACCGTGCTATGTCCTTCTCTTCACCCAAGGTTCCTTGTTATACTCCTCTCTACTGTCTACCGTCTACACTGAGACAACCATGCCACTACCTTCTCCACACATCCGGATGCCCAAACACACACTGTGTCCTCTGCAACACTCATCACTCTGAACAGCTCGTCTGCGAGAGTGAGAAACGCTATTCCATGTGATTTGAGCTGATGAGTGTGGTTAATGCTTGAAGCGTGTCCGTTCCGTGGACTGTTGTGCATCAGCGTCAGGCTTGTTAAGTGTTATGATTACTTAGCAACATGTGTTACATGTCTATGTAAGGTACGCTCTCGCAGCTTAGATCTGACTTGAGTTTTATGGGCGAAATACTGTCTATATCCCGCGACTGCTGTTATAGCTGGCAGGTTAAACCATCCGCTTTCTCAATATCGCGCGAGCGAGTCGCTAGCCTAGTGTTATGACAGAAAGATGCCGTATTCACACAAGTAGAAGGAAAATGCACTGATAACAGCGGTACTAATGATTTACGTTGTGGCATAGATAACATGAATCTATGCTATCCATGATTCATGTTATCTGTGGTTGTTGCAATGCCAGTTTGTTTCTCGAAACCTTTTTCTAGTTAGTTTTGTCTGTATGTATAGTAATCATTCTTTTACAATAACCATTCGTGCATGTTTTAATCATCTTTAGTTGTAATCTACAAAAAGGCACTATATGTAGAAAAATACTAGCAAGGTCGCTAACTTTATCAACTGTCATTACCTTTATGTGAAATCGCTTAGTGCATGGTGTTTACTTACATGTTTGCGCTAGGTGATGGTATACCGTAATTCCTAAGGTTACAGGCGACCTTAACGACATATCATGACTGGTAATCAGTTGTTCAATCTGTATCGTCGAAAGTAAACATATCAGCGATGACAATCTTCTATTAGATCTGTTCTGGTTAGATAGTTCAGACTAGAGATGTCAATCGGATACCAACTTTTTGGTATACCGATACCAAACCGATACCAACTTGGTATTTGGTATTTCAATCGTAATGTGTTTGGTATTTTGTTGGTATCATAAACCCTCACTAATGTATAAGAGGCTAAGAAATCGGTAAAAAGTTGGTATTTCCCTCATTTTCCCAAGTTGGTTTGGTTTCGGTATTTTCTTGTGGTTTTGGTTGGTATTTGGTTTGGTATCGGTATTCCGATTTTCCGTAATTGACATCACTAGTTCAGACTATTTATTGTGTCCGATGTGTTAATACAGCTACCTACCAATGTAGCATGCGATTATGGCTTTCAACAGACGCTGCAGACAAATTTGTGTTTCATAGTAACAGCAGTACCTAAAAGCTTCCACAGCGTCCATAAAATGATAATTACGTCAAACAATGTGAAAAACGCCCAGTACCCAATATTCACCATGATAGGTTTGCGCCAGTTTATGCACGATAAATAACAGCGTGTCATAGCGCCTTCACCAATTTATAACGATATCCACCGCGAGACACATCTTCCTTTGCCAGCGGCAGCAGCGCAAAAGCCAGTATACTTGATAGATTGGATAACATTAGACGGCGCTTGGCTTCTCACAAAAAGCTCAATGTATGTGCGAGCTCGTCATATTTCTGGCAAACTAACAAAAGCGCAGCAATTGCACCACAATTAGTGATTAAGACACATAAAACAGCTGTTGACTTTTTAACATCATTTGCTCAGTATATTGGGACAAGTATTTTGAGTGTAAGTGTGTCTTGATTGGTCAATGTTAATTTACCTTTCGCTCGTTTTCAGAGGTTCATACACATCGCACAGATCTGTGTACTCCTAGTTTATTTTTGACAATAAAAAGCCGTGACCGACGCAAAAGTTCTCAATTGAAACGCTATCCTGTTATTGGAAGTTAGTTAGTTATCATGTTATTGGAAGGAATTAGTTCACTTTTAACATGGGGTTTTGAACTGGAATACCGGTTCCGTAGCTTGAGCTGAGACAAGTACAATCAGGAGCTTTTACGGCCCAACAATCACCCTAGGCAAAGATATTCCATTTCTCGTCCCGAAACGTGTCTTGCTGAGGAAAGTGTGCCTTGCTGAATGCTGAAGACAAACCCAGAATGCAGCCACCCCAGCCTCAACTTGGCGTCAGCCAATCAGCATGCTGCTTTCAGCCAATGGGTTTGAACTATGCAAAATGATTGCTCAACGCGTAATAAGCTTCCACGTCAAACAATAATTTATATAGAATATAGTTGCTCCTATATTAAAATATAGAAAATAATATTTCTAATAAAAATATTCTTTTTTCTTTGCTGATCATTTTAGGCAAAAAAATCATAATTCCATCGCAAAAAACTAATTTCGATGAAGTGAACTATTCCCTTTCCTGTATCACTTGATCTTCTATATCCGCTATCAAATTAGAAAAAATACGAGCTACTCGGCACTCGCAATCCTAGTTTTATATTTACAACATACTCACATCATCATCATACATTTACTTGTGAGAAATTTGAAACAACAGCTTTAATATATCTTATTCCTAAAAGAACTTGCAAACAAGTACCGTAGTCAGTCAGCAAAAGAAGTAAAGAAACATTTCCTACAGGTATGTGCAGAATGCAGATAGGTAGTTCATGTGTTGTACTATGAGCTCAAAGAAAACTCGTTACATCTATTTAGATTGTACAATACGGAATACAAACAACCTTCCAAAATAATGTACAACAAACTGTAGCAGGCAGCGGAAGCCAGACAATCCATCAAGCACATCGCAATGTTTCTAACTGAGACTCACTGTCAGCAAAATAGACACCTTCCGATATGATATGTCGCTCTTGAGCTGATGTTTTCAAAGCCTGATTTTTAGCACAACGTCTGCAGTCTGTATGGATGCCTTATTCAGTATCCACTTTGTCAAATCGGTACTAATCTCAGGCCGTGCCTCATATCGACACTGCAAGGCATCGCATAATTTTCGCTGGTGTGGTAATGTCTCTTGCTTCACAGCGATGGCAATATTTACATTCTATACGATACAGGTCCCACGAGAAAATACAGTTTCGAGATACAATTGCCGTCGGCTTTACGGTTGCGGATTTGAATATGCAACTCGTCACCGTTTTTCGTACCAATACTTACATAAAAGTGTCCTGTTGACATTAACGCAATCCACAGACGTAAACTTCCACCAAGTAAGAAAAGTCTGACAGCAGTCCCACCTTGACACCATTTTACCAAAACCGTATCTCACTGTGAGTCCGGCGTGAGCCTATTCACCTCTCACAGCCCGACCAGCTGCGTGTGACGTAATCCCCGATTGTGTGTCGTCATCACACCTGGAGGTGACGTCACGTAGGCGTCGATCGGTGACCAAGTAGCAGCAGCAGCAGTAGAGAGAATGCAGGTAGGGCGACGGATGGATGGCAGCGGGCCCGGCCACCGGACAGATCAGGAATGGTTACCTCCACGTCCGACGTTTTAAGCACAGATAGCAGCGGGTGCGACAGAACGGCCGGCTCTCGGTGGTTTATCATCCGGCTGATCTCACGCAACGGGCCTGAGCACTCCGACTGAAAATGCAGAAAAAAAAAACGTCAAAAATGCATCATCGCGAATTGCCCAAAAATATGTTTAATATGAAAATAGATGTCATGAGTAATCCGAACTGTTTTAACAGATAAAGTTATCAAAGTCAAGATCCGTTTTAAGTACTGGAATTTAAAATAGTCAAGATTGAATAGTTATAAGTAACATATCACTCTGAGCCGTTCTACAATGTTTGAATACGAGTATAGTTGCCATGCTCGTCTGTTTGCATTCGAATGACCAGTAGCAAGGACTTTCCTGCAAGCAACTAGGTATGTACACTGTAAAAAAAGTTTAGCATTTGGGGTACTAACTGCTGCTATTCGTAGCACCTTTTAGCGTCAAAAGAACCCTACGACGTATTTACAAAGAAGCATGGTGCTAATACTGTGCTAATGATAGCTAACATTCCCATCAAATATTATAAGTTTAGATCACCTATTCTTCTACTGAGCTTAACGTCTACTTCTGCTAGTACCCAGTCCATCAGTGAGTGCTCTTTCAAGCTGGATTTCTAATTAGAGCCATTTTAAGTGTTTTAGAAGTTGGTAATGCTGAATATGGTGCTTACGTTAGTATCATATTAGAACCGGACATGCTTACAGAGGAAACAAATTTGAAATTGGCGCCAAAGAAAGTAGCTAAGCCCTGCTTTACAAATCTCTGGGAGTCTCATCACCAGCCCTTTAGCACGTTTTGACGGCGCAGAGCGATTTGCGCATGCGCGTGCCAGCTGTTTCCGGCCACGTGTTGCGCCATTTTAGTGGAGTCCGTTGGTCGTGGTGGGAGTGTGTGCACGTGCTCCGGTATATGAAGTGAAATGAAGTGAAGTGAAGTGCTCCGGGCACATGCCACCGAGTGATAGCTCTGGAATGATAGCTTAAATCAGCTATTATCGGTGGAATCCGTCGTGCGTGGCATGGGAGTGCGTGCCCCTGCTCCGGGAGGCAGTGAGGTGGAGGGAAGTGCAGTGCAGCAGTGCAGTGAAGTGAAGTGAAGTGCTCCGGGGCCGGGTGGTACATGAGCATTTGCCACCGACACATGCCACCGACACCGACGTTGATCGACTTTGGTGAGTCTGACACGTTGTATCTTTTGACATTATCTTATATTGTTTGAGTGCTTCATATTCCGAATTTGGCAAATCGCGCTTCTTGGTCTGAAGGAAAGTTGTGTTGTTTGCGAAAATAGCTCCCAACAGAAAAAAAAACTTGGAACTGATCCAGTTTTTTTTTTTTTGCTCCAGGCATGGGGCCTGGTCAGTTCTTCCGTCGACTACCACTTACAATGGAGGACAACTACGACAACAACACGGGGTCTCCGGTTCCGTCTATCACTAAACGCCGTCTGGTCGTGGATGAGGTCGAACTTATGGCCATGAACGGAACGTCGGTTCAACGACCCCCCCCCCGCCTCCCCCAGTCGATCTCGCGTTAATCGTCGGTCACTGCGAGTGTGCAGGTATATGAGCGACCTTTCGTTATTTCCCGTGCGTTTGTTTGTGTATATATTTACATTTGTTTTTCATGCAGATGATATGAAGTGTTAATAAATGTTCCATTATTATATTTTAATTTTATAATATGTTGGATGCTTGAAAGATGCACTTACACGGGAATATTGCAGAATGCAAAACACAATCATTGAGACTTGTAGTTATCACTTATCTAGGATATAACCTTTTTTGCACGTCTTTTCGGCCTTACACAATTTCCTTTTTGGTAATTGATTAGTCCTTTTTGCAGTAACTAGTGAAAGTATGTGCTGCTAAAGAAAGCAGTTTTTGCTAACTTTTCATGCAGCAGCTTTAACTAGTATAGATATTCTACTTTCAGCCCCAATGCTTTCGTTAGCATTATTCTTCTTGTCGTGGGGTAACAATAGCGCTAAAACGGTTCATATGTGAGTACGGAAGGTACTAACTGCATGCTATTCTTAGCACCTTTTAAAGTTTAGCACCGCTAGGGTACTGAAAATTGGTCTAGCAGGTGTAGGGTACTACATTTAGTACACGGGTGCTAAACAAATATGGGTACTTATATTAGCACCTTGATACTAAACTAGATCTCAGTTAAGTACGAATAAAATGCTTAGCTTAGCACCACTAGGGTACTGAAAATTAGTCAATTGAAAAGTACCTCTATGGTGCTAAACTTTTTTTACAGTGTAGTTGCTTTCGTAGTTACCTATGAAAGCAATCTGCAATACCTGCATACAAACCTTTTCTCTGCGCAAAATTTCCTGGTTGACAGCCCGATTGTGTAACTTCTGTTCAGGCCGAAGTCTCGCTTGAATGATGATATTGTTGGTTGACTCGAAATGTTCATGAACCGAAAGAGTGCACTGCCAATCCTGAAACAACAGTTGTTAAAATTAAAAGTAATCAAATAATATAGCATATCTGGCTCTGTTTGCTGCTGTTATGTAATCTGCCAAAGCCATAGAACCAACAAACCTATAGATACACATGCGTTTGTACCTTTCAGTCTCATATTTCTATCGGCATTCTACATGTTTCTAAATCAAAATGCTATACAAAAATAATTAGCTTTACCTGAGCACCCATGTCCTGTCTCTTGAGGACAACGTCGAGAATGTTCTTCAACTCTTCGACGACATACTGTCTAATAGTCTTGTGGGTGTGTGGATAAAGCATGTCTTGTTCGGCCCGACTGTACCCCAAGAACAGGAACACACCAAAGGGAAGCGAATAGTCATCTGAAAAAGACAAAGCATGTCATCTGCTTTGTGAATTTACGCGTAAGATGATAAAATTAAATTTTGAAACAATAACGATAAAAAGGTGTTCTCACAAGGGCACGGCGTCTACAAATGGCTGGCTAAAGCAGAGCTAAAGAGTCTCCTCGTAAATAATTCTAGGCTTCGTGTTTTGTAGGAGGGGTCTGAAAACCAACTTAACTTTGATCAATTTAATTGAGAGCCACAGGAAAATGCATAAAATGTCGATCCTAATTGTGACAACGCACCGTCTGCAGGTCTGGCGCAGATGAAGTCTCCATGGTGGCAGACGCAGCCCTCTTGGTAGGATACGAGTCCGGCCGTGCCGTGGTGGTACAGCGCCAGTGACGACTGACACTCGCGCTTCTCCAGACAGTCGAGCACGTTACAGACGAGCCGGCCGCGGCCGTGGCACATGCACAGCTCAGAGCAGTCCTTCTCGTCTCGGTACGGGTCTGAATTACCCTTCAAACGGTAGTACTGCCACCAGAAAAGAAACACATCCATAGGTGTAGCAACGTATCTCTTTGGTGAAGGATACCTTTCACCAAAGTTTCAGATTGGTGAAGGATCCTTCACCAATCTTGGACAATGCAAGGGGGTGTCTTCACCTACCTATGCTTAGAACTACTGGATTCGACGGTTGATCAAATGTCTGTTTTTTAACCCGCGCCCGGCTGGGGGTCCTGGATTTCCACGCCCTGCTGGGGGGGGGGGTGTTTGAACACCCCCTTCTAACTCGGCTCCTGGGCCACGTAGCGATACGCGGAAGGCGGCGTTCGAAAGAGCGCCAAAAATAATGACGAAATCACTTCGGTCACTTTTTTGGTCAGGTCAAAGGTCAGGTCACCAGAGGTCATTGAAGGCAAAATTTCGCCGATTTCCAGGTCGAATGTCGACAATTTCCAAGAAGCCAACGCATAGCTCGGGAACCAATAGAGCTACAGCGCCACGGAAAAGCGCATTCGATAGCCCTATTAACGCCCTTTCTGAGTAATTCGCTCAGATTTGACCTAACGTCAACGGTTTTGCCTGCAGGGGGCAAAAACTGCCAAAATAGACGATTTTTCGGGAACAGTTTTTCTGCAATAACTTTTGACTCAAGCCTTGCACGAGCTTTCTTTTACCAACATCGTGTTCCTCTTGTCAAGACGCATCGAATGAACTATAATTTGACATTGAAAGTTCAACTTAGAAATTTGACCTCTGGTCAAGGTCATGATTTGAGCGGACATTGTCATGTTGCATATTAGTGGATCTGTATCGTCGAGCTGAACATATATAAGGCGTTTTCATCGCTCTAGCATGCCTCTTTCAAAAGTTAGTCGCAAAAAACTGTTGGATACCATTCGTGACCTGAGATGACCTCAGGGGCATAAACAGGGGTCACGGGTGCCGTTTTCATGTTCAGTGTGTCAGAGTTACTTGTAATTTAGTGTTTGAGTGTTTAGAATAACTTTCGTCCGAAAAGACGGTTTTGAATTTTCTCCCATTGACTTATAATACCTAGAGAGGTCCCAAATTGACCCGACCTTAGGTCACCGATATGAAAATTCCGAATTTTGTACATACTGTTGCACTTATCAATTGCTGAAAGCTTCAAAGCGATCCGTCACTTGGTGTAGCTATGGCATACATTGAAACATTTTATGATGTGTTTATGAGGTGAGGTCACTTGTAGCGACCTGGTGACCTGACCTTGAAGGACCCTGATCTGAAATTTTCACAAAATGTATAACATTGATAGATGATAAGGTGCCGCCGTTTTTCAGATATCCGCGAAAAACCGCAGGGGGGTGGGTGGGTGTTCAAAAACCTCCCCCCCCCCCTCCCAGCAGGGCGCGGGTTAACACACTTTGACCATTTGCCCCAGTAGTCAAAATTCCTTAGCCGAGGCCCTGATTTACATCTTGCTGTCATGGCAAGATGCACAATTCAATTTTAGGCAGGCATTGAAAATTTGACGTTAATGGGATGATAAGGGCGTAAGATATCTGCGAAAAACAAGGGGTTGGCGAAATTCGCCCCCCCCCCCCGCTTGCACTGTGCGTGTTGGTTGGCACGGTCCTGTCCCTTTTCATAAGGCTCAGGTGGCATCCTTCACCAATATTTTTGGCGCTCCTACACCCATGAACACATCATTGATGACATTGGATAAGAAATGTCCTCTAAAAGCTCTATGAAGCTGACGAAATTATCATGTTCGAACAAAATTGAATATTCTGACGTTGGTGTAAAAGCCAATGCAGCCGACGTTACGGATCACAAACGATTTCAACTCTCCTTACCCGCACTCCTGCTCCTACGAGGATAAAGTCGTCGGGTCGTCCCGGTTTTCTGACCACACAGTGGGGCTGGCTTGGGACGACGGTGGCGTCATCGGCGGCAGAGTCCGTAACTAGTCTCTGACTGTCTGGGAGCGCTACCTGCCTCCGCCGGCTGCTGGATGGGGGCTGAACTGGCGCCGGAGGGCCGTGCAGGGGACTGCCGCTCGGCTGGCGCAGAAGGTACTCCCGCTGAGATAATTCTGTTGGGACAGATCACCCGGGGAGATGTTGGATAACATTTGTGGTGCTCAGACATGCACAAAATTTGTAACATCTTTCCTTGGGGCATGGGAATCGGAAATGGAGAGTACCGCAACTATGTGAAAATATGCTTTCCGCATGAAGTAAGTTTCGCCCACTTTGTTATCAGTTTCGTAACTATGCAGAAGTTACAAAGTTCAGTTCTGAAGAAACAAAAGAATACCGAAAACAAGCAAAAATCAACAGAAGGAAAAGGTGGAGTTGCTAGGGAAATTTTGACTTCAAATTCAAACTTAAAAGCCAGCGGAAACAGCATTCTGTTTTATCATTCAAAATATTAGGCGCGACCTGTAATGTTTAGAGGTCACAGGGGAGTATGAGAACTGAGAAGATACTATGCAGATAGATGACAGAGACCACTCGAGCAAAGCAATTGGTTGGACCCCGAAGCTCGCACAGACATTTTAGTAACAGGAAGCATGCGGTCAAAGCAAAAAATAGTTGGAACACAGCTCTAGCCAGCTGAAAACGCGATGAAGCCCGAGTTAGCTCGTTTCCGCTGCGGACCTTCCACCAATACGGTTGCGGCGGCCGTCGCGGCGGTAAAGCGACTGGCCTGGTAGACTGTGCCGCCATACAGGCACGTCAGGCGGGACAGTATAACTTCCAGTGACTGAGCCGGAAAGCGGAGGCAGGTGCCGGGGCGGCCGCTCGATAGCTCTGGCGGTAGCCCAGCTCAGAGCCCAGAGGTTTACGTATTGGTCTACCTTTAGCAATAATGCCAATACATGAGATTGCTCACATTTGTATGTACTTGACAAAACAGGCGTCTCCCCACAGTCCAGGTCCACGTACCGACACAGGGGTTAGCCCAGAGAAGGCGCTCCCAGTCGTGGCAGCTGTGCTGGCCGGGCGTGGAGCCGGCCGCCGGCGCGTCGTGGCAGCCGCAGTGGCTGTGCAGCTCGGTACCGAGCACGGCCAGCAGCGCGCTCCGGCAGTGCTGGCTGGGGCCGGCGCAGCGGGCCGTCACCACGTCCACGGCGCACGCCTGCTCGTAGCGCTCGAGCCGCGGCCGGCAGCGGCCGTCCCACTGGCGGCGGCAGTGGCGCGCCACCCGCAGACACGACGGCAGCCGGCCGCCCTCCGGCTGGCTGGCGCACGCCGGGTGCAGCCGCTGCATGGCCGCCACGCAGCCCGACTCGCCCGCGTCGCTCCGGCTGCAAATACGAGCACAGCACTTTCAGGATCATAGTTTTCTGTCCACTAATGCACTAGTATTTACTGTTGTTGTAACAGATGTTAGCATAAGATAAGCGTTCTTTTCGCATTGCATTTCCAATTCACTTCTCGACTTTGCGCTACACGAAACGCATGCATTTCACGGAAAGAGAGAGAGAGAGAGAGAGAGAGAGAGAGAGAGAGAGAGAGAGAGAGAGAGAGAGAGAGAGAGAGAGAGAGAGAGAGAGAGAGAGAGAGAGAGAGAGAGAGAGAGAGAGAGAGATAACTGTATTTGACAGACTCGAGGTCCAGTACCAGTCACATCACATCAAAATTGTACCACTGTACAGGGCAGAGCACCACGCTCTCCGAATCGATGAATAACATGCCAGATCACTTTCATATAGGGAGGATACGATTCGGTTGTCCGTCTGGCTCAGGCGAGTCATGAATCCATAGACGGCCTTTCGATACATCGCCATAAAGTTATCGATTCTTTCATTCACAAACATGTCGGACGCACTACAGAAACGATGATAACCAAAGAACATTCTAGCTGCATTGTTGAAACAAACAGTAAATTTCCTTGACACAGAAGAGCGATAAGAATGCCACAGATGCACACCATGTACATTAGAACAATACGTAGAGTATAAGTACCGTTTCACATTATATGAGCACATTGCAAATTTCCTGATCAGGGAGTTTGCCCGACAACAAAGAAGACGATACTGATATTGGATTTCCAGATCATCAGTTTTCTTGGGGCTGCTGGTGATATGGAAGCCAAGATATTTGTACTGATCAACATAAGCTAGAACATTTCCACACAGCACAATATCAGGCAGGATCATATTTCGAAACAGTGGAGGCAGAATCGACATACACACTGATTTCTTGGTATTGAACACAATATCATGATTCCCTGCATAGTCAGCACAAATGTCAACCATTTTTTGCAGACCCTGTGGCGTAGGGGATAGGAGCACCATGTCATCCGCATAATATAGGTGGTTTATACTCCCCAGATAATGACATCCTACACCACTCAAGTCCAATTTTTCTGACAGCTGGTCGGTATAAGCATTAAACAGGTACGGAGAGAGTATCCCGCCTTGCCTTACGCCATTCGTCACAGAGAACTCCTCAGAGAGGGTTTTACCCCAAAGCACATGATACCTCTGTGAGTCTCGCCACCGAACGAGGAGCCTTACAACGCTATTATCCATTCCCCTACTCAACAGCTTATCAAATAGAGTCCAATGGTTCACGCGATCAAACGCCTTTCTAGCGTCCAGAAAACAGACAAAGACTGCACTCCTATTGCGCAAATAGTGGTCCACAATTTCTTTTAACGCATACACAGCCATATCGGTGGAGTGGCCCTCCTTAAATCCAAACTGATGATCGCTAGTGAGAAGACTTGCTTTACATCGAGTGAGTATGACCCGCTCCAGTATTTTAGAGCTCACCGTGGCCAAAGCTATTGGCCTATAGTTATCCTTATCAGTCAATTTGCCTGTCCGATCTTTCACAATAGGGCGAAGTATCACCTTCGACAAAGAAGGAGGCAAGACGCCATGTCTCACTATCATCGAGAAACATAACGATAGATGCGTAGCACATGGAACACCCGCAAACTTAAAATGTTCAGCAGATAGACTGTCACAACCTGGAGAGCGACCTGACGACAGCTCATGGATCGATTCTAAAACCTTAGGAACCGAGAACATATCAGCACCTTCACCATCATTACGAAGCTGATTCAGAACACCTTCTTTACAGTCATCGCCATCAACACTATTCAGAATATCAGCAAAGTGATCCTTCCACATGTTCGCTATATTTTTCTCTCCACTGACGCTTCCAATAGACTGGGCCAGTGGCGGATCAGCGTTAAGCTTACGAACTTCTTTCCAAAAAGTTGCTAAGTCGCGCGGGTTTTTAGCAAATTTATCAGCTAGTGATTTTGCTCGCAGCTCTTTCTCATTCTTAAGACAAAAACGAAGCGCATACTTGAATTGTGACCTAGCCATTCGCAACTGGCTGTAGATGTAGCCCTGACGGGGCTTTCCAACCAGGGACCAAAGGGAGTAAACATCACCGAACAAGGTGTGTTTCTCCTCCACAAACTCGGTCCAACCTGGGATTGTTCGCTTACAGCTACCATGCGCTCGTTTGGCCACAGTAGTAAGAGTAGCACTCTTAATAGCATCAATTATCGCTTCATAATAACCATTGATAGCCTCTCTGTGGGCTACACTACAGTCAGTGGCAGCACAGAATATAGCCTCAAACGGTACGTCAATATTAGACAATTGCTCCCTCGCAGCCATAGCAAAGTTGTTCAGACCAAGTTCGTCAACAGAAGACCAATCAACTACCCACCTAGGATCAGATTCAGCAGCCTCGTGTGAATCCGGGATAGGATCGGTGGTCATGATTTCCAGATCACAACACACTGGGAAGTGGTCAGAACTCATAATCGACACATCAACCCTAACAGCACGAACGAGAGAGTAAAGACTCTTTGTACAGACTATGTGGTCAATCCAAGATTCTGTGCAACTGCCATCATTAGTATGAGTGATTGAACTCTGGGGCAATAACAACACATCAGCAATGCGTAAGTCTGCCTCATGACAGAATGATTCAAGTTCAATTCCAAAGTCAAAAGGCTCGTAATAATTTTCAATTTGCTGGTAAAGCAATAAACGCAACAGCTGAATTAGCTAAATCTCACCGGCAGACGCAGAGTGCGGCGTCCATGACGAGCACGCTGTCTGACTGGTCGTAGAACTCCTGCATGTGCTTCATACACTGCTGGCGGTGGCACGAGTCGGCCGCGCAGCTGTTCAACATGGGCTCCAGCAGGAAGCGGCAGCGGCGGTCCCGGCGGCAGTTGGCCAGCGCCGTGTGACAGGACGACTGCAGCACCGGCCCGGCCGACTCCAGGTCGACCGAACCGGCTGAGATGGCAGATGGAAGCTTGGCTGGAGCAAAGGGAGCAGGGCAGCTGTCAGAAACACCGTATCAGTTTTTGTATGTTTATTTAATGATATACATACCAGAAATGCTCGTGTAGGTGGGAATTGACAATATTACGTAATGAAAGCTATCTCACGTAATGAAAAAGTCATACCTAAATTTATGCAAAAGTCCGACCTTCAATAGATCGTGAACAATAGCTAGGCTCTGAGAAGTGCAACAAAGGGAGAAAAGAGAAAACGGGCTAAGGATTACGAAAGGGGCTAAAGATATGAGATATATAAAAAGCATAATGGCCTTTACTTTGAATCTCCTTGACATGCATCAAGGAAACGTTGCATATTGCAGGCTGCAATGGCGTAGGAGTTTATTATCGGTAAAAATGTTAACAGTCCTAGCCTAGCTATCTTACCAGTAGTTTTTTGCTTTTCTTTGACGGCGTTCTCCTCAGACTTATTATTCATACTGTCCATCTCAGGCCCGTAGAGTGTCCTCTCAATACTTGATGACCAAGGTCGTTCTGACGTCAGGTTGAACAGCGGAACCACCAACTGCTGGTCAGCCAGTGGTCGGGAGACCTCGGCTTCTCCCAGACCGCTCACTGTAACAACAGTGCGTTAGGTATAGCGCTCGCAGGGGGATGGGGGAGGGGGAGACGTACGGGGTAGCGGGGTGGTGCGTGGCAAAATGTCGAGCGCGAGCTCCGTGGGAAGGTGAACGTCCACCCGGATGGGAATATTTACGCCCTGGGGTGACTAGGGATGTTATTGATGAGAGAGAGAGAGAGAGAGAGAGAGAGAGAGAGAGAGCGAGAGCGAGAAAGAGAGATGAGATGAGATGAGATGAGAGAGGAAATGAGCAGTGTACCCGACCCAGGTGTTGGGGATTACGAGTGCAGTGCACGGAATTCCATAAATATGGCGGCTCGCACACTCTCACTTGGGAAGCTGACTACTAATGAACGACACGGGCCGGTTTGCGATGCATGCCACGAGGTGCGACAGGGGTGCCGGTGCTCCGTGCCATAGTAGAGTGCAGGTGCCGTAGTGCTGGTGATGTTACGCAGGTCGGCAGGGTGTTACGCTTGCAGGTGCGCAGGATGGTGACACACGAGACAGCCTTTGGACTGGTGCTGGTGCTGGTGCTGGTGCTGGTGCTGGTGCTGGTGCCGGTGCTGGTGCTGAAGAAGGTGCTGGTGCTCAAGGCAATTAGAATGGCGCTTCCGAACCTGAAAGGAGGCGTATGAATTCATTGCAGTGCTGTGTAATTTCATACTTAGTTGATCATCTTTATTATCTATTTCTAGGATCGCATACACCGTAGCAATGAAATAGCTTCTTTGGAGTTTGAAGTAATTACAAAATGTAACAAGACAGTACTCGCTGGATATCAAATATGCTTGACATGCGGTCTAAAAAAGTAAACGTTGCCTTAAACCTTCGAAAGTAGATCTTCCTTCAGATCATCCTTGATATTCCTACATTGAAATTCCTAATAGTCACTACCGTTCAAGTGTTTCAGAGTACACAAAACAGAACATTGAAAAGTACAGCATGCAATATGTGATTGGCACATTACTGCACTATACTGCAATTGACGACATGCACCGCCGGGTAGCGACAACATACCTATGCAAGGATTCTCATGAACGGCTTTGAACGCTCTCTCGCAGTTCCAGTCGCGAAAATCAGTACAAATGCATCCGTATAACGGGCTCCGTTTCTTCAGCGCAATCCAGGCATCGCTGCACGCAGAGCTGAAGTCCGAACAAAACATACGCATTGCAGCGATGGCAATTACACAAACATCCTTGATGCGTCACAGTACGCCAAAGTACGACACAAAACAGACTTTCGGGGGTTTTTGAGCTCCACAAAACACTGGGCGTTTCATCGCTTATTTTAATCAGCTAATGGACCTGATAGAGAAGCAAAAGGCTCTTACTTATTTGAAACCTTATCAGGAATCATAGCGGATGCCAAACGGTCCTGTGTAGGTCTGACTGAGCGCGGCACCACAAGAGCATATTGAGAGTCAACATTTGTGTCCTACAGAACAAAACACGCTATGCGTTCCTACCTATATCCCATCAGCAAAGTACATACAGCCGGCTGACCTGTTTTTCATGTGACACGTCCCGTCGGAGAAGGGACACAGTCGCCGGTAGTCGTGATAGACTCTGGAGCAGCTGGGCTGCTGGTGGCACGCGTTCAGAGCGTACTCACAGGTAGGCAGGGCCTGCGTGGGAAACGGGTCCTTATCTGAAACATACGGACAAATGGCTATCAGGGTGTCTGTCGGCCATTGCCGAAGCATGCACAATCGTACAGGTGCATGGCTCCTTCCGGCTACGAGATAGGTGTTTTATGTCGTTTCATTATAAATGTTTTACATAAAAGTTTTCTAAGCGTGAGTAATCAAAACAGATCAAGCGTGCATGTCTATCTGTAGCACGAAGAGGTTATAGCCGAAATAATTACAAAAATGAAGCTTCCTAAGCGACAGCGGAATTTTACTGGTAGGGACCAATCCATTGACTAATGTCTAGGAAGCGGGTCTTTAGTATGCCGCCTCACCGAGCTGTTTGACGCTCAGACAGGGGTGGTCGAACACCAGGTTGCGGTAGGTGTTACACTCGGGGTCGACGCGCTGCTCCTTGCACAGACACGTGGGCTGGAAGAACTGGAAGGCCACCAGAGTCCTCAGAGCCGCCCGACACTTGGTCACCGTCACCGTCGAGCACGACACTGAAGTAAAGAGAAAAAGAACGATACAGTCATGATTAACGACACGCTTCGTTCTTTCAATAATGACAAAAAAGTGCACGGCGAAAAATGCGAACGACAAAAAGTGGCACTTTTGTTAACACATAAAATGTCACTGATAAGCTGAATTCTTTGCTTTAAAATTATCTATTCCACAATGGACTGGAGTGAAAATGAGTGAACAAGAAAGGGGAAATAAAGAGAGGGAGAAAGGGATGAAGGAAAAGAAAGAAGAAAAGAGAGAAGTGGATGAAGAAAGGGAGAAAAGATCACTCCCTCATAAAGTAGTTATAACGTCCAGCCTATAGCGTTCTCAGTGAGTGAAGGGGACTCACCCAGCTCGGGTCCACAGAGGCGCGGGATGATGGACGTGATGTACTGACATGCAGCGCTCCTTCGGCACAGCTGGCGGGCCACCTTACAGTCGACAATCGGCGGGCTGGTTCTCACCGATACCGCTGAAACAAGCACATCGCTTTGTAATGCATAAAATTACGGATGACATGCGTAACTGGCGGGCTGGTCCTCACGGCGATCGCTGGAAACAAACACGCTGGCGCCTTACAGCTGACAATCGACGGCTAGTCCTAACTAATACCATTGGCGCAAACAAACAAACAAACTAAGGAACAAGCACACATCCACCCCCCACACACTATACATACAGGGTCTTTCATAATGAATGTTACTTTTGAACATCTAATTAGGAGCTCTTAATTTATCACTTGTGCGCGAATTTTATTTGTGTATTGTTGCAAATCGAATAGGGTTTTGTCCCAAAAAATAAGAAATACAAAACGCAAATTTTCCTTCACGCAAAAGCAGAGTATGCCGACACCACCAAAACGCATTACGGATTACGGTCGACGGACAAGTCTTCATCCATTGGCTTTCCCCTGGGTCAACACTGAATGGGGTGGTTTACCTTTAGGCTGCTCAAGGAATGCCTCTGGCCTCAGGTCAGGCACAAGGTCCGAAGAGACGGCCTGTGGTTCCATCAGGATGGTGCCACAGTGCACACCACGGCAGCTGTGCGCCAGTGGCTGATAAAAAATTTCGAAGAGCGCGTTATCAGCCGCCTCACCGGGCGACTATGGCCACCACGGAGCCCTGAAATCTCCCGCTGTACTACTGGTTTTGGAGAGTCGCATTGGCAGATCTGAGACAAAACCCACCTGCAACCATCCACTGCGAACCACAGTGGAGAGGTTTGCTGGAAGCCTGGACTCAGACGTTGTGAGGCGCGGGGTGCGACACCTTCGTTTGAGGGCCGAAACGTGTGCCTTAAGAAAAGGCAATGCAGTGGAAAATCCCCAAGGAGCATTAAAATGAAAGTTGTGTGTGTAAGAACGCTAATGTGTTTCTGTTTCATGTGATGGTACATATCACATGAGGAATATATATGTCCTGAGAAATAGGTCCTTTAAAAGTAACATTCATTATGAAAGACCCTGTACCTCACAGACCGGGGAAACATGAGGAGAATAAATGCGTACCTATTACAAATGGATCGCAATGCTGAGCGAACAGGAAAATCCGTTCCTCATACGCATTTATTTGCTCGTGTAACCCCGGTAACAGTTGACTATTGGCGAACTGGTCCGTACCGCTATCGGTGGGACAAACAAACGCACTCTACGGTCGACAATCGGAGGTTGCTTTTCTCTGAAGGGGACCATGCCTCTGCTTCCTTATTGACTTAAGGACCAGGGCATTGGAGAATTAAGCAATATTTTGCTTTTTGAGCCGACATTCGATGGACAAGAAATTAAAACTCAGCTTACGCCTCTGAAGACAATCTCGTTATTCATCAAATGGTTGGCAACGCGGAACGCTCTGTAGCGACCTGCGAGAATGTCTATGAAGGTTAGCATGCCTTTGTGGTCGTCTTCCTTGGCACTGTTTCTGGAGGCTTTTCATCAGGAACTGTTAACCCCCACAAACCTGATTTCCGCTAATGCTCATTCTCCGTAACCTCCGTCTCAGTAGGAGGCCACTCTGACGGAGCTGCCGGAGCCTGCAGCCCAGCGGCAGCCTGCGAGCTCGGTGAAGCGGCGGCTGGCGTCTCAAGGTCGGTCTGCAGCACAGCGCGTGCGGCGCCGCTCATCGTTCCGCCGGACCGGCTCAACGGCCGGGGCTGGGCGCCGCCGCTCCGATCAGCCGGGCCCCGGCGCCGCTCGATGTTCATGGCCAGGTGCCGCCGGCCGGCCGGGGCTCGTGGCCGGGCGGCCGTACCGGTGAGATGAGACGGCGGGCCGGCGTGGCGAGCTGCCCAGTCGCGCCCCGGGCCAGCCGCGCCCAGCCGACCAGATTGGACGCCGGGAGAGGTGGTGCGGGCCGACACTGCCCCACAGGTACCCCCGGCGGCGGCTGCACCGCGCCTGCAGACCAGCCCACCGGCCCGGATCACACTCCGCGGCCTCGGAGCCGTACGAGATCTTCCTCCGGTATTTACGGAGAAACCGCACTGCTCGAGATTTCCCCGGTGGAGTTTTCTCTATGCATCTCCGATACAGATGTCCTAACTATAAATAGTTCCCTATGCCTCTTTCATTGCATTCACACCAGCATATTGAAAGGAGCGAACGAATCGAAAGAGAGAAATGGATGAAGTCATAAGCGAACTCTTTATTAGCATAATTAATTAACTTAACATCGTAGGTGCCTATGTTTGTTATCGTTACAAGGTGCAGCGTTTTATGTCCACAACAGCACATTCTTCTAAGAAGTATTGTAACGATCTGCGACGAGTTCTGGGAAACCCTTTGCCACTTGTTGCTACGTCCAACAGAAGCCATATTACGGCCGTATCCAAGAGACGTACTGAAACACTTCCCATGCTCCAGAAAAGCGCTAAGCAGGACGAGAAGTAAATAGGCTAGCGCAAGGCGTCCAAGAACATTTTCACCGTACCTACCTGTAGGCTGTAGCGTATAGTAAATGAGCAGACAGGACATAGTTCGTTTACTATTGATGGGAGAGAGACGCAAGTTAACGAGCACCTGGAACGAGGATTACCCGGAGGCGGTAACAAAATTCTGACCGCAGTTCGGCGAGAACTAGTAGGTGCCGAGCGGCCCGAACCGTCTTTTTAACTGCCCAAAGTCATACCAAAGTAGGACCTCGAGCGACAGGATTCGTGGTAAGCGTTCAGGAACTTTATGAACTGCATATTTCATAAACAAGCAAATTGCCGTAACTGACCAGTAACTCATCTTTCATCTGCACCATAAAAAGTAGCCACGGATCTCCTGTTTGGTGCGAACCGTCACACGCCGGTTAGAACAAATTCGTGTTTCCCTAATTATTTTTTCTACATCCCTAATCCAGATCAATAGGTTACGTCAAGTTATTCACTTTAGGAAAAGTAAATGCTCGTTTTAGTCACATATGTAGAATTGATGATTGTTTTGGGACTTTCATCAATTTATAGAAGTGAGACTAGTGAGAGGCTGCATGAAACATATTACTCGTTTTCATATCATTGACATACGGTCGGTTCAGTTATGCAACCTCTCCATCCAACTCAATGGAAAAATGAAACTCTTTCGGATGACAACATTGGTAAACACTCCAAGCATCGTTCAATTCTGATTCAATTCTGTTTTTTATTAAATACTGACAACCGGAAATTTTGCATCCGTTACCCTGCATTTTGTCTCCAAAGAAACTTGCAATCTCGAATTCATGAATTTTTCATATTAAATGTCCATTGACGTTTTAATTGGATTTTTTTAATGTCAAATTTTTATTTCTAATTAATTATTTCTAATAAATTTTTATTGGGAAATTGTTCCATTGGTGACCATTGACGACTAGGGTATACTGAGTACTGACCCCTGACGTGACCTAAAATACCTAAGCTATTTGTCATGATTACCATATAGATATCACCTTGACCTGCAACATAATTTATTGACTTTTATTGAAAAAGTTTGTAACAACGATAGCATTTTACAACAATCTCAAAATCAGTATACTGCATCCATTGATGGCCACGGTTGATCTGACCTTCGACCTAGCTTAAAAATGATAGATTTTTTTTCACATTTATTGTTATCGGTCTTTCAAACACCTTCCACAGTTTGAAGATACTTGGCTCTGAAATGGGGTTGAGAATGGGGCGCAAAACGACCCCTACGTATTTGGCATAATGCGTGCGTTTCTATATGCTCGTATAGGGGAAGGTGAACTATTTGCGTGCGCGGAAATCGTCTGTGCTAATCTTAGGCGTGACGTTATTCAAAATCTGCTTTTGTGGAAGGTCTTTAGATGGTGGCGCAAATGGGGCAAGGTACTGGCGCTTTTGGGCAGGGGTGCCCTACTTGCGCCTTTCGCAAGGGTTTGCTAGAAATTCGATATACAATTCACGGCTGACTTTAGAAGTGTGGTAAGGATTTTTTATAGAAATTAATCAAATTACGAATAAGAAGACGTTAACCAGCTCTCCACCCCTCCCTTAACGATTAATAGTTGATAAGCTAAGTATAACGCAATTTGGGCACCTTCCCCTACCACCATCTCTAGGAATTGAGTATCACCTGAACGTGCAGATTACGGATAAATTATTATCGTGACGGTTTTGGCACCTTAGCCCGTGCCCCGCTGGGCTATTCAGCCACATGCGCCCTGCTGAGGGGGAGGGGCAGATTCTCCCCCCTAAAAACCGAACATATTAGAACTTCAAAAATTTGGCAGTTTACAAGTGAAAATGAAGTCACATGGCGTCACTGAAACATCATTTTCTCAGCAAATTTTCCGACGGATTTTGTTTGAATTTTCAGGTAGGTAACATGTAGAATCAATGTAGGATAAGGTACGGAAAGTTTGACGTCACGGTTTAACACGCGCGCCGACGAGGGTCTCCGCCAACTTAGTAGGGGAAGTTGGGGCAATGCCGGAGTTGGGGCAAAGCCGAAATTCGAGATATTTCGAAAACCGTAAAACATGGATGCCACCTGTCAGTGATGCTCTGAAGCTTAAGTGACTACAATTATCGCATGTTTGTTACGAGTCGTCATTCGGAATACTTCGACTGTGAGGGCGCCAAGAGCGTTTTCAAGGTACGTTTCCCTTGTACTACATGCGCCTTTGAAGCTGCATTTTTTACTCATTATGCTACCGTTTGTCTGGCCAATTCGGTCAAGTAATCTTTAGCATGTCTTTGCATAAGTGTGCTGCCTATTTGAAATTTATACAGCACGTTGAAAAGTTATGGGCCTGCAAATGAAAGTATGGCTGGCTGGGGTAATGCCGAAAACGTGCGATTACGCACGTGTTAAAAGCACGCTACGTGGACTTTACTGCTGTAGAATAGCAACACGTATTTTTAGTCACACAAATTACACTTTCAACCGACACAACGGCCTGTTACCTATAAGGAATGATTTACCTGGCATTTTCTTATTATATCACACAATTATAACTTCCAGTGTGCACCGCGTCCTCAAGCTCTTGAAACGTGTGTCAGCTTTGATGAATTCTGGATAAAGTTTGAGATAAAATGGCAAAACATCAATGTCGGCATTCCCAGTAGATCATTTCTCCCATTTTCGGCTTTCCCCGCAGTCCGGGGCAACGCCGAAAAAGTCACTTCTTTGATATTTTTAGTTTGTGCGCTTAACGGTATGCGAATTCATCAAATGCGCCTGGTATGTTTGAAAGGCAAAAGACTGGCCTCTCGAATGACGCCAACAAGAATAGCGTATGTTGTCTACCTTGCGTGCTACGGGCGTCAGAAAAAAAGTCTTCGGCGTTCCCCCAACTTCCCCTACCGACGGGGGGGGGGGCGGATGACCGCCCCCCCTGAGATCTCGAGAACGAAGCAAGATAGCGACAAGCGGTAAACGGCATCGGATACGCACGGACAAGGTCTACAATTTTATTAAGGTCATTTTCAGGTCAGGTCAAAGATGACGTCACAGGGGTCGAAAAAGTCAAAATGGCGGCGCTAAGATATGGATAGAGTTTTTCTCGAATAACTTTCGAATTAGTTAAGACAGGAACAAACTAAGGGCATCATCGTGATTCTTTCGTCAATCCACATCGAATGATATATATATATATATATATATATATATATATATATATATATATATATATATATATATATATATATATATATATATATATATATATATATATATATATATATATATATATATATATATATATATATGTTGACCTCGAAAGGTCAAGGTCAAAGGTTGACCTCAGGTCACGTGACCTCGAGGTTATCATGTACCTATATCATTCGATGCGTCTTGACGAGCTGAACACAATGAGACCATCCGCGCGGCTGTATCTTGTTCCTGTACGGAGTTATTGGCAAAAAAAACCTTTGGTGTCCTCTGATGACGTCACATTACCTTACAGCTACCCAACAGCAAAACAGACCTCAAGGTAGTGAAGGTTGATCGTATATGAAGTCATGTATGGTATATGGGGCTATTCCGACCCGTTTTAGTGGTAAAAATAGGGAGTTGATTTTTCCCCCATTGACTTATAATGGGGAGGTCGAGAAAATGACCTGACCTTAGGTCACCGATATCAAAATTCCGAGATATAAAAATTGTAGCTACTAATGTCCTAATAACATCCTGCGACTTTCAAAGGCCTCCGCCATCTACTGTAGCTCTGGCATGGTGACAAAGTTGCAAAAAAGTGACTTGAGGCTGGGTCATTCAAAGTGACCTGGTGACCTGACCTTAAAAGTTAGGAGGTTCAAACTTGCACACCATGTGTAAAATTGATGAGAGAATAGTCGTACCAAATTTTGCGGCGGCCGCTACGCGCCGCGGTTTTCCCGCTATTCGCGAAAAACCTCAGGGGGGCGGATATCCGCCCCCCCCCCCCCGTCGGTGCGCGTGTTAACGCGCTTAGAAGCTATTTGCGAAAAACGGGATTCTGTCCCTACCACTGCGTGGCGCGGGTTAAAGCAGGGTTGCGGAGTCGGAGTCGGAGTTGTAGTGGGAGTAGGTCAGAGTCGACAATTCTTTCCGGAGTCAGAGTCGCAGTCGGAGTCGCAAGATGTAACCGACTCCGACTCCGGAGTCGGAGTTAACACTGCATTGCCCTAGGCCTACACCTGTTTGCTTGACAACATCAAGCTCGTTGACCTTTCCACGCCGCAGCTAAGATCATATCCATGTTTTGGACGAGCGTTTTCAGAAAAAAAAAGATCGCGACTGCAACAGAATCTGCTTTTAGTTTGGCATGCTATTTAAAAAAGTATATTTGCAAAGCAAGGCGATGAAACGCGCAAATGATCGCTTTATGCAAAATAAGAAGGTCGCCGACATGAGCTTTACCATAGTGTAATAAATAACATTATGCAAGGAATAAAATATGGGAATAAGACCCATAGAACCGTCCTTTTTGAACAACCTGCAGTCCCGGATCCAGCAGCTACCAACGAGTATGCTTCCTACCCCAAAGTACGACCAAGCAGTAGCGAGGTTACGGCGATAGTGATGACAAACAGTGTATACCCACCTGTCGGTCTAACCGTTGTTGAAGTGCTCGTCTTGGGCTGCTCGGTCACCCCAGACGCAGGCGATGTGGTGTACTGGGCCGGCAGTGGAGGTATGGAGTCGCAGCACTCGCGCTCAGGAAACTCGCTGGCAGCCGCGGCGTCCAGCCACACGGCAGTCACCACCAGCAGCGGCAGCAGCGACAGCAACAGGTCTTCACAGGACGGCAGGGTCTTCATCCGTCTCCTGGGCTTTTCTCTAACGTAAATCATTTCGAACCGTTCGTAAGTCCTCCAATAACAAGACTGCAATTAATTTGTCCACCTTTAATCAACAGGTGAAACGCACGCACTCGTCCTCTGGCCGCCGAGCGCGGCGCTGTTTCTGCTCCGAAGTCGACCAGTCTCTGAGGTCGCCAGGCGACGCACGACGTTTATATAGACGCGGCGCGCCGGAGCCGACCTCGACCGCCGGCACCGACGGGCCGCCGCAGCCGCTCGGCGAGCTGCACCGACCCAGAGACTCAGTCACTCAGCAACTCCACTTCGCACGGCCGACCCAGGAAGTAGTCTTTTTCAGCGCCGTAAGTCGACACTGATGAACGGTGAGTGGGTAGTTTGGCAACAGTCAGCCGACGACAAAGGACTGAACGATCGGAGCCAGGTGGAAAAACAAGCTGGTGGTCGTCAGACCCGTCGAAGGAATCAATAGTTGATTTGCCGCCATGGACTGTGCCAAACGATTTCGTGAATATTCACTGAAAGGTCTAAGATATTCACATGGCGTGCAGCTGCTGTTACTGGGTCCCAGACCCAGTCGGAGAAATCCGTAATGCATCGCTCATTCTTCAGCTCATCGGGTAGTTCCTGTTCAATTCGGGAAAGACGTTGAATTTATGTCGCTGCCATTACGTGACAGCGAATACGTACGTCAGATAACAATATAAATGACAGCCAGTGCAGTTGTGACATCCAGTGCCAGTAGTGACGACACATGTCAGGTGATGACTTTTCTTATGATGGCCATGGCATTACATCAATCATCACCCTGAAACCATCCTGAATCGTCCCGTGCCCGGCACCGCGCCCGGCTGACCCTCACGTGACCCTGCCCGCCACCAATGACCGGTCGACCAATTAAAGAGTCATCTAGTCACCGGCAGCGTAAAGTTCGACCGGTCACTCGCCCCGGGATCCGTTCGATACGACACCAGCCACCGGGCTGACCTTGGCGACCCCCTGATCAATAAAGCCTAAGGTAGCTGCTCAGAGCAATACCTAGGCTGAGCGCAGGTGGAGAGCGGGTTTGAGCCTCCCGACTCCCGAGCACCTCTCCAGATCGCCTAACAACTGCAAACGAGGCGTGTAATCCCAACGAGCTACTCACCTCCAGAAGGTGCAACTTTTCTTGCGCATTGTGAGTAGCTTGTGAGCTTCTTCGTACTAACCGGAAATTGGAAATTGGAAACCGGAAATTGTGGTATTCCGGTATTCCGGATGAAAATGCCAATAACGAAATTCACTCGTGCATATCAGTCTATCTTATTATCGGATGATGTGTAGGTTTGTCAAGTAACTTTTGTAAGTGCATGGCAAAATAATACTGTGCATTGTTTGTTCCCTTATAGTTCTTAATTCGTGATCGAAATGCTTTTCTTGGTAAGCAAAGACATATTGCTAAGTATCATGAACTGATTGTGCAAATTAAAATAAACTTAAGCATAGTTCGTTGCTATTCCATGTGTAAAATTAAGCTTATGTGAAACACATATAGTACCTCTTAACCGTGACAGATCGTCACTCACATCATTGGTGCCTGATTAGATCCAGCACGGTATTTAGGGCCATATGTCATAAGTTGTCCGTTTCGCGCACAAAGTGATACCATTGAGCCAGACATACGGCATCATCCTATCCACAACTTCGGCCGCCGGTCAACAACTATTGGCCATCTATCCAAACCATCCTCCCATAGTCCCTCTCAAAAATGTTGTCGCACTCTCTAAACGCGAGGTTGGGAATGCCAGTACCATGAGCCAAGGGTTGTCTCAACTTCTACGCCGGTCAACAAGGAATGTATAAAAACTTGGTCAAGTCGAGCTTTACTCACGTCTCCCAGTCACCAAACCACCAAACCAAACCGTTCTCAAACCCACACGGCGCCGTTTCGGAGGCCGACTCCAGTCCCCTGTATCTCAGCCCCGTCAGAGCGGTGTGAGACGTGTCGGTGTTTTGGCTGCCCTGATAGCTGCTCGAGGGAGGCGTGGGGCGGGTGTGGTGCGCCCATTCGTCCGGAGATGCTGCCGAACGCCGCAGCTGAGCGCTCCCACGATCCGTCCGGGGGGACGTCAAGATCGGACGGAGATCGAGCGCGTATGTCCTGTTTATTATCATATGCTCGGGCCGGGGTTGGTGAAGTGAACACAAACTGACCATTGGAATAAGATATAGCGACCTAATCATATACTGACCATCGGTCCGAGGTCTTACATTGAATTGACTGACCATTGGTCTGAGATCTACCCCTCATGCACTTTTATTTCGATCTCAGTCATGTTGGCACAGAACCGTTAAATTTTCCTTTTGCGCCTATTAGTAGCACGAAGCATTGGTGCAGGAGCCAGAAAGGTAAAATGAAGGAAGCATCGAGGGAAAGTAGGTACCTAATACCTCTGGGAAGCGGAAGCAACCACTTATCTTATTGCGGAAGGAAAGGATGACCTGTGTCCATTTGATCATTGCTACGCGGACCCAGAGCTGAAGCCATGATCCACGGGATCGTTCAGTTCTAAGTAGAAGTATTAGCTAGGTACTGGCGCCGAATTTTCTCCGGATACGCTAAGATTCTATAACAACAAATCTCCGGAACGTTGCGCATCCGTGTTCCGTACCGAGATGCGGAGACTTGAGACCTTTCTCCGCACGGTGACACGCCAGCCGACCGTGCACAGCTGCGTGCGACCGATATTTCCAGAGACCCGTGCGACTGGACAGTAAACTGAACACTTTGCTCGCAGCTGTCGGCAGCGGTCGCGTTCCCAGGCGTCAATACACGCCGATACCGACGGCCGAGGTCGGAGAGTTCACGGTGTAACTCACGGGTATTGTATACGCGCCCGACTGAGCTCGGGTGTCGGAGAAACCCACGTCGACGTCCGGTAGAGAAATGAGCAAGAATGTTCCCCTTAGTAACCAATAAGCGACGCTGCAAATATCCTGCAGCAGGGCGCGAAATAACGCGCTGAAGTGTACCTAATCCCGGCTGTCCAGGCCGGTGGCGTGACGCGCCGCCGGTGACACGGGCGGCGCACTGACAGGGTGTCGTGCCGGGCCATGCACGGCCGCGGCAGTGTAAAGCCCCGCGGCGCCGCCACTCTCGGCGTAATGAGCGGCCGGCCGCCGCGTGACAGCAGCTCGTGCTGGATTCCTCAGTTACCGGCGCGCTCGATTGCGCCGCTCCGCCCCTGTGTTCGATCATCGACCGGCCAGCCACCACTCGTTTGTAGACTCCGGTCAGGTCGGCCACTGCGACTGATGGGCACGGTCCCACTCCCAGCCGCCGCCGCCACATAGCAGCCCTGATTATTTACTGACTCTGTGACATGCATTTGTACGGGGAGAAGTAACTTTATAGCCATGGGGTGGTGGTCGGCAGTCGGCACACTGGAATAAGTGGTATCTGATATGCAGGAGATCGAAATTAACGTCGTCTCTGGCCTTCTCTAGCTACAAAACCGCAAGCTGGAAGAGAAATAACACTGCGGAATGCCACGGACTCGGGACCGAATACACCACGGTATAACACGACGATGTAAACGTCCTTGTTAATGTTAGCCGGCATTAAAGTCCCCCGATAATTACGATTGCATACCTATATCGAGGCTGCCACTCGTAAGAAAATCAGTGACAATGGATGGGTGGTCGCGCTCCACAAGCGCACCGAAGGCACATGCAAACGAAAATGTTTTAATGCAAATAAGATTGCTGTTTTCCATAATTAATGTTAATATTTATCAGCATCAACAGCTCATCGCGACCCAGTTGGTGTGGCTGTTGCACTGCCGTCGGCTGTTTCTGCCACCTCAACTCCGGGCAGGAGTCGATCCCGGCTAATCAGACTGATCACGTTTGGTTTGGTAAACACCCGTAGGTACCTGTGTATATAACCGGGCTAAACAAACAGCCGACGGCTTCCCTCTGGCCCGAATCTGATCCCTGTTTCCAGCGAGCCCGCGCGGTGCCGTGCTGGTGTAAGGTCCTTTATCGACCCGGCTCAGTCCCGCCATAACTGTCTCACGGTCAGTTTGCTTGCGTTATATTCAAGTGTGATAAGGAATAGTTAACCTCGTGCCTATACGAAAGAGTCAACAGCAGCAGTCGCCGGGCCACCAAAGGGGCTGAGCCTATCCAATAAAATACAATGGCCATTTTACTGATGATATTAAGTGTTCACTTTAATCAATTCAGTAAAAACGCAATTTGCGCACATCTTCTCAAGATGAAAATGAAAAGCAGACTTCATGAGGCATTCAAGTGCTATTTTTTAGCTTTTTAGTAATCACCATGAAGCCTTCATTAGACAGAGGAGAATTATTAACAGCTTTTCATCACGTAGCTTGCAACGTAAGTAGCAGTACTACTCCAATATCATGTATAAAATCGAGAATCGAGGGAGAAGGGAGGGGCATTTGATACCCTCAAAACTTTTTGAATAGACTTGTGGGACAAAATCAGACTAGAAGTAGAAAACTGTGTTCACAAGTATTTGTCCTACGGACAGAGCACGACAGAGTAGACCGCTCCGTCCTCGCATCCACCCCTCCTAACGCCATTGACAAGAAAATGGGCGGCGGGCCTACGTAAATCACTAGGCAGCGGAAAATATTGATCGATAGTCAGAACGTCAAATGTCACTCCAGCATGGGTAATCAAATCTCGTTCGACGGTAAGAAACCCTAGGGGTCACACTACAACTAATGAAACTACCTCAACGTTGAACGGCGTCCGACCTCTAACCAGAAGTGGGTGATCAGCTTCCAAGAAAAGTAATATCTGGATAGCCTCCGCTCACCCAGGTTCCATGATATCCTCATATGCAGGCACTATGGATTTCGTTAATTAAATCCTCACCGATCAATATGGTGATACTGCATCATCCTAATGGCATCGTTTATGTAATTCAGAAGAGAGCTTGCACACTTCTAAGCATGTCACTCGCTGTTAACTCTTGAGGATTTCCCACACAGACTTAAAGTCCAATGCTACTTTGGCAGCAAGTCGACTCTTATGAAATGTACTTAAAACGATCGTTTATTGGATACGATAAACGCTTTTAAAATCTGTAAACAAATACTGGGCTATGCTAAAACGGTATTAACAGCCTGAGCATAAATATCACTTGCATCACAGCTCGACGCGTGTTCATAACTCTTCAAACAGTTCATCGTCACTCTCTTCCACCTTGATAAAATCCATGATGACATTGGACAGGTTGGCCCTCTGGCTGGCATAATCCTCATCATCGCTACTGTCGATCACAATCGGCTCGTCCAGGATTCGATCGTAGACGGTGCTCGCCTCACTCAGGGTACGGGCCGCCGGCCCTCGCGCTCCGTCCACAGGCACATTCGGCGTGCTGGCCTCACTGAAGGTCCTGGCGGCGCCGGAGCGACCCCCGGCCGGCGCGCTGCTTGTCGATCCGCCCCGCTGGGGTGACGATGCCGTGATCTCTTCCAGATCGTCACCACCCGTCTCCTGCTCCACCAGGGAAGTTTCCAGCTCATCTGCAGCGTCGGCGAGCAGGCGATCGTCGTCCCTGTCCTCCGACCAGACGGAGACTTCGAGCGATCGCTCCAGCTCGTCGGCAGCGAGCGACAGCATCTGTTCATCGTCGTCATCGTCGTCGTACCACACTGTCTCTCCCGAGTTCTCCGGCCGGGTTTCACCGCCAACAGCCCCCAACAGCTGTTCGTTCGGATCCGCCAGACACTGGTCTACGTGGTCGTTGATACCCTGCTGGGGCACCTGCTCGTTGCACACAGGACAAGTAACCAGACTCGAGCCGGCACTGAGCCCGCTACAGTTATCCGTTGTGGGGGATGTGGTTGGGGTGGGTTTCTTCCTCTCTGGACTTGAGAAGATGCCGGTCGGGGTTCGAGTCGTAGACGTCGCTGACGAGGTTCTCGAAGCTGATGGCACTGACGGAGGGGTCGGACCGACCGCGGAACCAGCACCGGACGCACCCCGAGGCGGGTCGCGTTTGTACCAGGGAACACCTGGCGTACCGCCCAGCCTATTCCCTCGACCATCGAACGTCGTGTCACCGGGCCGGCCGTCCGTTCGGTCGTCCTCGCCGGCCGCTCCGCCGCGCCGGACCGGCACCGTCACCGTACGGCTTCCTCCGGCCGTCGCCACCGCGCCGCCCCTCTTCTGGAAGCCGTGCACGTTGCCGGCGATGGCGTTGACCCTCTGGTTGCCGTCGTTGTTCACTGTGCCGATGTCGGCTCGCACGCCGGTCGGGTTGCCGGGTCGTCTCTGAGGCGGCGGACCGGCGCCCTCGGGCGGCGGCCGCTTGCCGGGCCTCTCTGAGGGCGCTCCGGCGGCGGCGCCCCGCCCGCCCCGACCCCGGCCCCGTCCGGGACGGCCGCGGCCGACCGGGGCCGCCACTCCGCCCACAGCAGTGGCCCGCCCCGCCGGTCTCCAGGGCGGCTTCTGGGAGACGGGCACGGCCTTACCAGTGACGCCGAAGTTGCGGATGTCTTGCAGCTTTGTTCCAGATGCTGAAACAGATAAAATATGCCCCAATTAAAACGATAAGCACACAACTTCTAAAACAAATCACATCATTGGTGGCATAGGTGATGAAAACCCAGCCAGCACCCTAGCGTTTATTATCCCCAGAAATCACAGGCACTGTAATGACTGAGGCCTGTGGATACTGTCTAGACCCCGAAACATTTCTGCAAATTTAGACTGGAACACCCATGCCTTAATTACTGCATAGGTCAATGCAGTGAAACCACTACCCACTCCGACCCCATTTATTACAACAATCACCATTCACCTAACTCACCTGTGTCCTTCTTGGTCTTCTTCTTGCCATACCCCTCCGGTTCCTTGATTTTCTCGAAAAGGCCACCGCAGGAGGCCTGGTGGTCGCGCCACCAGAAGTCGTTCTTGCTCGGCGCACGGTTCATGGAGCGTTTGACGTAGCCAAAATGGGGCGGTCGGGAGCGGCACGGCCCCGTGCAGCGCCACCAGTGCGTCAGCATGTGCTTCACCTCGGCGTGGAACGTGTGGTACACCTGGCGGGGGACAGATGGCGCCACCGGGACCGGCAGACGGGTCAGACAGGCAACGGGGATAAACCCTGCAGGAACCGTCAGAAGAATGATTCGGTGTACGAATGGATGAATGAATGAATGAATGAATGAATGAATGAATGAATGAATGAATGAATGAATGAGCGTACAAATGAATTAAGGAGGAAATGAATGAGCGAACGAATGAACTGTATTTACGAATAACTAGCATGAAACTAAAGCAACCGTTATGCCAATGAGATTTGGCACCTACTTGGCGTCCGCAAAAAAAAAACCACAACTAAAAGCAAATAAAGTGTCCCATTTCATTATCGCGCCGTCCCGCGCCGTACCGTGATGTTGGTGCCGGCGATCTTGTTGATACGGTGCATGTGCCGGTGGAATTCTGGACCGTGCTCCTCCCGGTTGTCGTTGTGGTGGGTGACAAACAGCAGCGCGTGAATCATCTCGTGCAGGAGGGTCTCGACCAGGTCACTGCGCGGCCGCAGCATCAGCAGCGGCCGGCTGAGGCGCACCGAGCATAGGCCTGAGGCCGGCTGGTAGGAGCACACGCCGGCGCACCTGGACACAGCGGAACACCTCAGACACGGAGCACACACCGGAGGCCGTCTGGCGAGCGAGCTTCGGGCCATGGATCTTACCCTACACATTGCTGAACATTCTGTTGTTTTTAAGTGTTCGGACTTCAGAAGGCCAACCAGAGCATCCGCCTGCTCCTAGATAATTTTACAGATCCACCAGATAATCAAGGGGATAAAATCTAGCAAATGTGACAGAATTTGTCGCGAGATCTCCGTCCTGTCACGTTAGCTCGGGAAATTCCCGGAGCACAAATACCTTCAACCGGATATTTTGCTTTATCGTGGCAGCAATTTGAAACCGAAGTGTTTACCGTGACAAATATCCCGACAAAACCTGATGTGGTTATCGAAATTTCGACAATTCCGATTATTTTGACGATATTCGTCACGCCCCAATCAGTTGTTCTCACCGTGTCATCCGGGGACTCCATTTGAGCTCGACGCCACCGAGTTTTCCCCAGAAGAAGTGCTTGTCAAAGTCGCGGAACAGCTGGTAGATGTCTGGAGTCGGGTCGATCAGCTCATAGGCCTCGTCTACCAGGGATGTCCCAGGTGGAGGCACAGACTGGGGTGAAGAGGCACTTTTACAGTGTCGCTGAGACTCCTGGCTATTTGAGCCTCCTACAGCTCCGCCGACTGCTCCACCAGTCGCAGTTAATTCAACGCCTGGCCGATCAGCTGCATCACATGGGATGTTGGCCAGCAGATTCTCTTCTTCTTGGAGTCGTAGGGCCAGGGCAAAGTCAAGATCCTCGGTGTGGCTCATGCTTCCTGTAAACCAGAAAATATCAGCTTGACTGAGAAGTGAAAGAATACTTACACTTGCAAGATCAAAAAGTAACTTTATTACCTACTATATTACTAGCTTTATTACTATTTCAAATTCGTCAATGCTGTTTTTCTTGTACCTAGTACCTACCTACCAATCTGGTGATGTAGGTAATCAAGGAATATCTTCATAGACTTTTGTTATTGTATTGCTAGGGTACCTGTGTTATCTTGTGCCAGAGCTTTGTGGAAGCATTCAGTGCTAATTTCACTTTCTTAATGCATTTCCTTGGAGTGATGCCCTTGTTAATGCATTAGTTAGATGACAGTTCAGTGATCAGTCCTCAATGGGCTTATTCAATGGGCTGCCAGTGAGACAACCCTTGCTGAAGGTCCTTCAGCAAGCGTTGTATCGCTGCTCGGAATGCACTCCCTGACCAGATCATAGGTTAATCCGATCTGAGCAGGTTCAAGGCCATGTTCGCTGACTAAATGGGTGATGCCTTGTTCTCTTATCATATGTGATGGCTAATGGCTTCTGCATTGACTCTGTTACCCTAATTCGTGTTTCTAATATTGTATACAATCTGTTATTGTATGTATCATGAAACTAAAGAAAAATTTGTGTTTGTCACAGTGCACGCTCTTGTTCCCAGCTTGGCGAGCCCTACGTTCGCGCGTTCCTTCAGACTTCAGTTCCTCATTACTACACCCATCTATACCCATCCTCTATCACTATGCTGTTCTCTGGAAGGCAGGGAACCCCCAACAGATGAGTTAAACAGGTGAGTATTCAACGAAATGGTTGTGCTAGACATGCTTGAGCATTTACATATGAACGCAAAATGTTGGCTCTGGAGTACGTTGCCGGAATGAGCTGCGAGCATTCACGAGGGACCTTCGACAGAACATGCTTGAGCATTTACATATGAACGCAAAATGTTGGCTCTGGAGAACGTTGCCGGAATGAGCTGCGAGCATTCACGAGGGACCTTCGACAGAACTTTGAACGCCAGCTTGCGGCAGACATAAAGACCAATCCGAAAGCTTTCTGGAATTACTCGAAGTCCAGGTTGAAGACTCGGTCGGGTGTAGACGACCTGCAGGACTCACATGGGACCTTGAGGAGTGACGACAGTGAAAAGGCTGCGGTACTGAACCAATTTTTCAGTAGCGTTTTCACCACGGAGAACACCAGTCACATCCCCGAGCCTACATGGCAGTATGAGGGCTCCAAGCTGGAGGACATTGTAATATCAGCTGACGTTGTCCACCAGAAGCTGAAGCAGCTGAAAATAACCAGTTCTCCTGGCCCAGATGGTGTCCCCAGCCGGGTGCTGGTTGAGACTGCTGGTGCTATTGCTGCCCCACTAGCCACACTGTTCCAGCAGTCACTGGATTCAGGCTGTCTCCCTGAGGACTGGAGGCTCGGGACAGTCATTCCAATCTACAAGAAAGGATGCAAGAGTCTACCTGAAAACTACAGGCCCATCAGCCTGACATCAATAATCTGCAAGGTGCTGGAATCCATTGTGCGCGACCAGATGATGAACTTTCTAAATGAGACTGATCAAATATCCAGACACCAGCATGGCTTCCGCCCTAGGCGATCCTGTTCCACCCAGCTACTGGAGACGATTGACGAGTGGAGCCGACTTATTGAGGATGGTGAGCCCCTTGACACCATTTACCTGGATTTCAGGAAGGCGTTTGACACAGTGCCTCACCAGCGCCTGCTTAGAAAGCTCCGGGCCTACGGTGTTGAAGGAAACCTGCTGAGGTGGATTGCAGCCTTTCTTTCTGGACGCAAACAACAGGTTTTGGTGGGGGGCTGCCACTCACAGTGGTCACCGGTCACTAGTGGGGTGCCGCAGGGCTCTGTCCTTGGCCCACTGTTATTCCTGGTGTACATCAACGACATTCCAGATGTGGTGACCTCATCAATCAAGATATTCGCTGATGATACAAAAGTTTATCGCAGTGTATCTAAGCCATCCCAGATTCAGGACCTCCAACAGGATATCAACTCAGTAGTTGAATGGTCCGACAGATGGCAACTGCCATTCAACGAAGCAAAATGCAAGAGTTTGCACAACGGCCCAAATAACCAGGAGCACCACTACACAATCAGAGGTAACCGTCTCGAATCTGCCAGTGAAGAGAAAGATCTGGGTGTCTTTATCGACTCATCCCTCAAGTTTAGAAAACAGGCAGCATCTGCAGCTTCCAAGGCCACCCAGGTCCTGGCCGTGATTCGGAGGTCGTTCGCTCACCTTGATGAACAGACACTGACGCTGCTCTACAAGTCTCTTGTACGTCCACTCCTCGAGTATGGCAACGTTTCATGGGGACCGTTCAACAGACACGATCAGAGGCTGTTAGAACGCATCCAGAGACGAGCAACCAAGCTGGTGTCAGGTATCAGGAACCTGCCATATCCTCAGCGTCTCCAGAAACTCAAGCTACCTTCACTCTACTACAGAAGACGGCGCGGAGACATGCTAACGATCTACCAGCTGCTACACGCGGGAGTCGACCTGGACCCTGATGACTTTTTGGCGAGGAGCTCAATGACTGCAACTCGAGGGCACGGCTGGAAGCTGGCGAAACCTCAAGCAGCGTCTCGTGTGCGGAGGAACGCACTCTGCGTACGAGCCATCAATGACTGGAACGCCCTTCCTCGTCATGTGGTCCTCGCTGAGACCCTAACCCAGTTCAAATCCCGACTCGACCAGCACTGGCAGACCATCCATTACTCAGTGCCAACCCAAGATTTAACCTAGTGTATCCAGAACCTACTCGACGAGATCGGGACCTTCAGGCGTTGTGCCTTTCTAAATCCTGATAAGTGTAGGTAAGGTAAGGTAAGGTAAGGAGTAAGATTCGTATTTTTCACGAAGTTACCCACCTCTCCTTGCCTATCATACCTATGCATTATGCAGAGATATAAAAATGACCTCTGATGGGCTGCAGGCATTCAAATTAACTATCCCAATTCCAGTAATCGTAAGCCCTACCTTACTGAAAACTTCAAATTCAGCAAGCCAGAGTCAGCCAGAGTGAGAGTGCTAAAAAATAATTTTGACTTACCTACTGGGACTTCAGCGACTTCAGTCTCTGGCAAGTAGCATTCAGATCTTCAATAAGATTTACGACCTCAACCTCCCAGGACCAGGACCATGATGCGAAAGCGGGAACGAATGATAGGAAAGTGCAACAAGGCTTCGACCAAGGCCATATAAGCAAGGCCATATAAGTTGCTTCGACCGCTTTGCCAACTTTGAGAAAACTCGGGGCCAACTCGGGGAAACCCAAGGAAACCTCACGGAAAACCAGCGGAAACCCCACGAACCCCCAACATATTTCGAATATCTGGCGCTACTCGAAATTAATTATATGACGTATTACTTTTGGATGTAAATGTTTTGAAAAAAAAAGTTAACTAAAATTCTACAAATTTTCTTATTGCATCAATTTTTTTTAAAGATTTTGACTAAAATAAGTACATTTTTTACAGTATTTGCAAGGTTTTTGGCTTTCAAAAAAGTTGACGTCATCAAAGTTTCAATTTTTATCTTAAGACACCATACTTGACGCATAAGTGACAAACACGGTGTCTCGTCGGGGTTTTCACGCAAGTTTCACGTGCGTGCAGTGGTTTTGTTTGGTTCCAAACCAAGGCCATCTATAGATGGCCTTGGTTTGGTTTGCGTTTGTTGAGTTGACTTGCTAGATCTTGTCAAAAGTTGCTGTGATATACAATGCTTTCAGCGAGAATACTTCAGAGGATTATCGCCACTAATGGTAAGTAGTAGTCACATTGCATGTAACATTTGTCAAATGACTTTGTGCCATACCTACCAACCAATCACAATATCAACATGGCCCATTTATGAAGCCTGTTACATCCAAATTCGGTGGTTGTAGCATATGTAATCCCTACTTTAGTCTGAAAAATCCTCAGCACCATCCTCAGAGCCCTGTTTCACTGCCCGATGCTGCAGCGTGCTGTGCTGTTGTATTGGTGCGGTGTTCGAAACAAATTTGGCTTGTCGCTCCAGTGTTGTGAGCATCTGAGATAATTGACGATTCCATGGAAACCCAATTCGCTGCTACCTGCAGTGTGAAGCAGGTAGCAGCGACCCAGAATGCTCAAATCCTCAACCAAGCCTAAAACTCTGTCCTGGGCCCTGGCAGGATAGGTGGGTACTAGGTATTTACCTTCATGATTCATCTGACATGAGTTACTATTCTGTCTATACAGGTCCAGTGATGTGCCTGAATGTAGCATTGTGACCATTAGCTGGCTGGCAGGCCTGTCCATAGTGCCAGAATCAGGCCTGGTCACACACCAGAATGGCCATATTGACCAATGTTTCTGCCTGATTTCCATCATCTTTGCAGCTCGGAAATGGTCTCATGAGACCAAGAGATCCTAACCTAACAAACCAACAACAAAACTTGGGCCATGTGTCACTCCATCGGAGACATGCCAACCCTGGCGCTGGCACTGGTTCTGTCTCATGTTGATATGTTGTCTGTCCCACAGCCACCTGGCCAGGTGGGATCACGGCCGCGGCAGCCATTCTTCTCCCCAGCCGCAGCCCATCCAGCGTACCCGAGCTCGGCCCGACCCGGCCGGCCGGTGTGAGGGCCATGTCGTTCCTGCCCCCGACCGGACCGCGCCGATGGCCGCTGTACAACGAGCAGGTGTTTCCGCCGACCGGAGCCGACGAGGCGCCCCGACCAGCCGTGAGTAGTCTGAGTGGGCCCGAACCAGGGTGGGTAAACGGTGGTGCAGGGATCTCTAGAAGTGTTGATCGCATGAAGGGGAGCTGTTTCTGGAGGTGGTATACTGGTGGTGTTGCCCCCAAAAAGGTGATACGTGGCCTACTTGTTGAATGTGTACGATGCTCAACATCCGCTTTTCCCTGTTACTGTTTCAGTTCGTCTGCCACGTCAAAACGAACGTGAAATACAGCACCAAGAAGATGTGGTACATCGCCTCAATGATCCGCGGGATGAGTATCGAGGAGGCGCTGAAGCAGCTGCAGTTTGTCAACAAGAAGGGCGCCCAGATCGTGTCTGAGGCACTGAAGGAGGCACAGGAGATGGCCGTCCGCGACCATAACGTCGAGTTCAAGAACAACCTCTGGGTCGGTGAGTACAATGAAACTGCTGTCGTGAATGTTTGATGTGCCCAGAAAACTCATTTGAGCATACTTGTGCATCCAGCTCCTTCTTCTTTGTATATCGGTTCGCCCTTCTTTCCTGACGAGTTGGAAAGGCTCCGATCCAGTACTGTCCTCGGCCTTACTGGAATACACGCCTACCCGGACTGGTTGGGTTCTTAATACTTTTTCCTATTCCAGCTGTTAAAATCGTTATATTCCGACCAAACGGACAGCGATTTCCTGTCACATTCTTTGTATCTAGTTGGGATTTGACATTTGCAGGTCGTTCTATTTATTTCCCTTTCGCTGTTTAGATCGGCCTATCCCCTAACAAAGAAAAAGTAAACATATCTATTGATCGGAATAGAAACCCGTATACCTACTTGGACAGGAAGCTTGGCTACATTATTATTATTTTCTATCAAGCGTTCATTGAGTTTTTCGGCATATTCACAGAGATTCCGCCATCCTGAGAAGCTGATTATGGTTATCCTTGCTGTTCGGTCGCATCCATAATTGTCCGTCTGCATCTCGTTGCCTGTGGGATGTTTCTACTCCACCCGGTCAGACTCGAGGCACTGGTCGCATCCTTGATTCTGTCGATAAATCAAATAGGTCGCACCTATCTATCCTCGCTAATTAAGCCTTTTTTATCGACGGATGAGAACTTTGACGGGTGATTCTCTCCTCCGCACAGCTGAGTCGTTTGCCACCAAGGGTCGTGTGCTGAAGGGTCTGCGGCGGCACGCGCGGGCCCGTCCGGGTATCGTCCACTACCGGTACACACACTACTTTGTTCGCCTGGAGGAGGGCGCTCCACCTGAGCAGTACTACGCAGATGCACCGCTGCCACCCGAGGAAATGCTCAAAAGGTGGCTGGAGCAGCGCCGGCAGAGGACCATTACCCACTCGCTGTGAGAAACCGGCCCCCGAACTGATTGTGAGAGTGTTGACGTGCCCAGCGGTCGCATATTTTGTGCGAGTGAACATTTTGTGACGTGTGTGATGATGAGGAAGTTCTAGGTACTCTACGAACAGAGATGACCGTTTTTTTTAGGTGTCGTAAGTGAAGTGAGTCGATACACTTTAGTCGTTGTCCGGAATGCAGGACAACACATTTTTGCTTTCCCAATATGTGTTGCTTTGGTGAAATAGCATCTAGAAAGTCAGTTGCCAACTACGAGTATATGTATATTTGCATAGAACACGTAACAGCAATACAGCGAGCGACAAACAACATCTATCATCGTTTGGTCCCGGTTTCACCAGCTGTTCTTGGTCCCTACACACATCAATAGTCACGATAACAGTCGCGGGCGGAGCGCCGCGTGTCGAGTCGCCGCCGAGCCCGCCGGGCTGGCCCCTGTGTGCCGGCGGGGCGGGCGGCGAGCCGGAGTCGCGAGCGCGCGCCGAGGCATGGCACGGATCGTGAACAGAGTTTTTTTTTCGGTCGGAAGACCGTACCACACGGGCTCGGTAATTTTGTAGATATTCTCAGCAATATGCTGGGCTAATTTTCCTTGGTCTATTTAGTTTTCCGTAATATTGAGATCGGCTGTATTACTTATCAACGAGTGTTATCATGGTAACGCGATTATCTTACTGGGAAATTGTTTTCTTTTATATGTAACTGAATTGGTCAAAAGTTAACGCCCGATCCCGATCAAATAAATCGACAAATAATGCCCATTCGCAGTTTAGGCAAAGTGATTAAGTACTGAATGCACATTCAGTTTCAAAGTCTCAAAATGCATTTGAAGCATTCTTAGTTATGTCATACCGACTGCTTCATCTCCCGACGGTTATACGCTGACATCAATTGTGATGAACATTGACGTTTCCGTTCCGTCAGTGAGATTACATTTTGCGAGATAATTTCTCTCGTTTGCCGCTGAGTTAAACTCTCAGCGTTGTGTTTGTGCCTACCGTCCCATGTCTTACAGGGAATCGCCTGCTGGCATATTTTCCATTCCTCTGAGGCGCCCAGTACCTATTCGGCTGAAACAATACTTCTTTCTTCATCATGCTGTTGGTCTCCAGCTGCTCTGTCTGCATCCTCCCCCTGGACTAAACTGGCCCTCCTCTCCGTTTCTCGCTGCGACTCGGACCTCAGAACTTCATCTTCTGCACGGCGCTGTTGAGCCGGATGAGCTGTCCCTGCAGGCTGGAGACGATGGAGCCGACCTGGTCCACCGAGGTCACCCTCTCGATGGACTGGGTGTGCGGGTTGTACCACACTTCGTACGGCCGGCTCAGCGAGGTGGCCACCCAGCGTCTGCGGCAAACAGTCGGCGTCTCAGCACGGCACGCGATAGTACACAGCTCGGCACACGGCGGCACAGCACACAGGTGGTGGTTGTTGGGCTTGAGGCGTGTTAGAGCCAGCCAAAAGCTCATCAGTCGCTGCACTTAGAATAGCCAATAGTCATATGCCTCCACGTTCTCTGATCGCTTTCCTTGAACCCGTAGCACAGATAGGATCTTGTGTATGTGATAGCATATGACAGTTCGGGTTTACCTGAACTTTTCCTGCGCGTCGATGAGGCTCTCGGCCACGAAGTAGGTGTCCTGGTAGTCCTGGTCCTGGTAGGGCTGGATGCACGTGGTGCTCGGCTCATAGGGCAGCAGCTGCGGCCGGTCGGAGAGCGCGTGCTCCAGCTCTCCGTACGAGGAGAGCAGACCGGCGCCGTACGCGCGCAGCTGGCCGTTCTCCCGGCAGAGGCCGAACTCGACCGTGAACCAGTACATCTGTCAACATCCCACCGGGAAACACCGTCAATTCCATCGTAATCTAGTGCATCTGTCAACACGAAACACCTGTGAACCGAGTGGCCCACCGTAAGCCCAGTGCATCTGTCAGCACTCAGCACCTGGCCGTGAACCAGTGCTGCGTCTGTTAGCACACCACCGTGAGTCTGTAGGTCTGTCGACAGCTAGTGACCTTTCTTCGTGACTCCACAGTCCACATTTCATAGTCACTGTATCACTAAGTGTTTGCTGGGCTTACTGCTTACCGTGGCGAATTTTTCGATTTCCTCGTCAGTAGCCCCGAGCGACGCCAGACCCAGCTCCTGGGAAAACTCCGCAAAAAACGGGTCCGCTAGCAGAGGTGCGTGTCCCAACAGTTCGTGGATACAGTCTCTGAAACGGGAAGAGTCGGAATGAATATGCCATTTGAAAATTGAATGCATAGCGATTCGATTCGTAATTCGATTGCCAATAACACGGGCATGATAAGCAACCTGGCTGCTATTGCTATCGTTTGCAGATCGTTCCGCACTGACCGTTCCAAACCACATAATGTTATTTGTTTAGTTAGCAATGACTCATCAATTGGCTACTTCTCATTACGAGAAGATAGTGTTGTGAAGAGTGAAGGAAAATGCAAAAGTGAGAAGAGTGAAGGGAGATGGATGCTTTCATCGATATGGTAGCAATGGAAACTTGACGCTCTTGAGACATATTGTAGCCGTGGCAGTCGTGTTCGGTTCGCATTAAAATTCACTGTTGATTGGATTGTAGCGTGAAAGGCAAGGTAAGTGAATGCTGGTAGCCATGGAAACCATTCGACAGTTATCGCTAGCAGCCGTGAGCTTGCCATCCTGAACAGCATTTCACTTATTTCTGTTTTTAGGCAAAACATGAGTGCAGAGTGCATTAGCAATTTATAGATTGCATGGCAAGTGCATGGGGAGGTGAAGGTATGCTGGATGTTCTTTTGCATTGCATTGAAGGCCAGTTGTTTTCTGGTTAAATATACCTACCATTTGTCCTAGTCATCTGTGGTTGAGCTGGCTTTTCAGACTTAGATCATGCCTACATTTTGGGCCTTGACATTGCATTTTGGATTAGTTTGGAGAAGTTGTCCATTTTTGTAGGCTCTGTGGTGGCTTGATCTTTTATAATTTGTTTATTCATGCTGATCCTTTTTATTCATCAAATTGTGATTGATAGTACCTATTAGATGTTCATGTATCAACAAGCTTCAAATAAATAACTGCATAAGAAGGCATTTATCTCATTGGGTCTGTTCCCGTCGCTCCTCCCAAAAAATCTCGGATGAGGTTGGATGAGCTTGGAGGAGAGCCATTTCAGAGGAGCCACGGGAACATTTTCGCGAGGAAATCAGCTGTTTGCGGGCTGTAACGGTCGGCTATTTATGGCGCGCAAACATAAATCAAGAGATAATAATCGCTTTCTAATAAAATAACCTTTAGATTAATATCAAACATTACTATTTAAAGATATCCAATCGTCATCAATCACTAAAATCATTTCCACTTCCCTCAAATCTCATTTATAAACAATTCACATTTGTATTACGTGTGCCAAATATGTCTACGCAAGAGCCTCCTCCAAAAAAACAACTTTCTTTTGGGATGAGGGAGGAGGCAAATAGTGGTGGTGAGATGTGAAATCAAGATGAGCTTGGAGGAGCTTGGAGGAGCGACGGGAACGATGTTTTGAAAGGAGAGGAGGTTAGAGGAGCTTGGAGGAGGTTAGAGGAGCGACGGGAACAAACCCATTCAGATAAATCAAATAAAGCCTAAGTAATTTTTGCGTTAAAAGCTGCTCCAATAAATATTTTCATGCATCAGCCTTCTGTATTTTATATTTTATTTTCTAGTTTCAATGAAGCCATCCCTTCCAAATTCCAATCAAGTTGTGCAATGAGAATGATTGGAGTAATTTTTTACTGTTGTAGGTATGGTGGGGTAGCTGGGAAGGAACTGCTATCAGACCCATGTGAGAGCCATATTGGGTGCTTCTTTTTTGTTAGAACATTATGGTGGAGCAAGTAGCCAAAAATTCTTCATTTACCCTTTGGTATCTATTGCTAGCAACATTAAAAATACAGCTTTGGGTGATTCAATTACAATAATGTGAGATAAGCAGTGCTGCTGCTGTTGCTGAAATGCTTTAGGTCTTGGTGTGAACACAAGTGTCTGAGCTTCCTGTGACACTGTTTCAGACCTCAGTCATGGCTCCTGCACAGGGAGATGGTGATCAAAATGAAAAGGCAGTGGCCAATCCACTGTCTAATAAAATACAAAAGATTCTGGGCAAGCAGCTGGAAGATGACAAGGTATGGTCAATTTCATGATATATTTCACTTAATTTTGTGCTTATGTTAGGCTAGCTTCCCCCTTGCTGATGTTTTATGCATGGATTAAATAAATCTACATAAGCCATCATCCATTGACCCTCAGCATGTGTCATTGTTTCTTCTCTCTTCCAGGAATTATTGGAGGCACTGAAGGACGTCTCCTCCTTTGTCAAGGAGAACACGCTGCTGTCGCGCCGTAACCTGCGCGGCGCCATCGAGCGCCGCTCTTTGGCCGTCAACTCGGAGTTCCTGGCGTCGTTCGGGCGCGTGCGCGACTCGCTGGCGGCCGTGCACGCCGACGTCTCTGGCATGGCCGCTGACTGCGGACGGCTGGCTGCCCGGCTGGCCGCCACCCGGCGCCAGGCGCGCAGCCTGCTGGACGAGACGGCCCAGCTGCGCGCCGAGGCCACGCGGCTCGGCGGCCAGCGCCGGCTGCTCTCGGCCTTCACGGCCGCCTTCCAGCTGACGCCGGCCGAGCTGGCGGCTCTGCGCGCGCCAGAGGTAACGCCGGCCTTCTTCCCGGCCCTGGAGCGGGCGGCACGCATCCACGGCGACGTGCAGCTGCTGCTGCAGTCGGGCCACCAGCAGACGGCGCTCGAGGTCATGGAACAGATGTCCATCTACCAGGTGGGCACATAGCGAGTTCGGGCAATGCCTAACATAAAGCAGATATGACTGCCTTTTGGGATACAGCTCATGGGAGATCAGCGAGAAAATCTGCTCAGTAGGCGTTTGTCCCATGGAGCCATCTACTCAGTAATATCAACTACTCATATATCTTTAAAGGGGGGGGAGGGGGCTATACTAAATGAACTAGATTCTTAAGGTGGTAACACTATTGTTCAATTGCCATTTTACCCAATGCTTGAGTCCTATGTGCTGAGTCTTTTGTGCTGATCCCCTTGTGCTGGCCGTTTATCTCACCATTGCCGACATGTTAGGTACTTATCCGCTCACCTGATCGTGTCTTCCAGGAGGGCGCTTACGAGCGTCTGTACAAGTGGGCACAGTCCTGTGTCCGCTCCTCCGACGCTGACAGCAACATATGCCTCGCCAAGGCGATGGCCTGCCTCCAAGACAGACCGGTTCTCTTCCAGTGAGTGATCGGGTCTTTATTTGTTGCAAGACACTATATCGTCTATAATCGCTTATATAGTTGCTTGTGCATGCTCTCGGGCTTGGTTGTACATTGTGGAAGGTTTCAATAGTCGTTACCTAACAATGGGTCGTCTCGTGCACACGTTGTTGGTGAACTTGGAAGACGTGACTAGTGTCCTGTTTAGTGTTTGTTTTTACAGACTGACTAGGCGAGAATATGTGGCAATATGGAGGCTTGTGACTGGGACCCTACCCGTGACTCCTCTGACAGACGAGCTACGTGCTTGCAGGTACGTCATGGACGAATACTGCGCCGTGCGTCGCCAGCTCCTGGTGCGGGCCTTCATCGACGCCCTGACGGCAGGCGGGCGCGGCGGCACCCCGCGGCCCATCGAACTACACGCCCATGATCCGCTCCGTTACGTGGGCGACATGCTGGCCTGGCTGCACCAGGCGACACCCTCCGAGCGCGAGGCTCTCCAGTCTCTACTGCGTGACTGTCGTCCGGCCGAGACACCGACACGCATTGATACGGCCCTGGCGTCCGTGTGTGAGGCGGTGTGCCGACCGCTGCGCGCGCGCCTGGAACAGGTGCTGCTGGGCTCACCTGGCGCCGTGGTGCTGCACAAAGTCAGCGGACTGATTCAGTTCTACCGCTCCACTATCGGTCAGGTGGTACCCGACGGCCCGCTGCCGGCCACGCTCGACGAATTGCAGGCGCTTAGCCAGCGGGCCGCGCTGCAGGCACTCCAGGCGCAGGCGGCGCGCCTCTGTGAGCGGGTGACTCCTCCAGCCGCCGACTTAGCTCCCGCGCCAGCCGTGCTCAGTGCACTGTCACTACTGCGTGAGGCACTGGATGGAGGCGGTGTGGTGGAGTCACGCCGCGCCCAGGTGGAGCAGACAGCCGCCTGTCTGCTGGAGCCGCTAATGTCGGCCGTACTTGAGTCGGCGGCTGCCTTACCAGCGCGAGACTGCGCCGTCTACCTGCTCAACTGCCTGTACCGATTGCACTCGACGCTGTCGCTGTACGAGTACATGGAACCGCGGCTGGAGTCGCTGCAGGCGCAGCTGGACGCCCAGCTGGAGGCGCTGACGTCCGAACAGGCCAGCAGTGTGGTCCAGTCGCTGGGACTGACACACATCTACGCTGGCCTGCAGTCGCCGCCGCCGGGTCCGCTCAGTCAGCAGCCGGGCCTGGGCGAGGCGGCCGTGGGTCAGTTTCTGCAGCGGCTGGACGTGTTCCTGGCCAGCCCGGACATGCTGACGCTGCCGCAGCTGCGCCTGCTGGCCAGCTCGGCACACAGGCTGACCGTGCAGCGCCGATCGGCGGAGGTGGTTGGCGTCATCTACGAGAAACTCTACACGGCCGTTCACGAGCCGAGCAACGGCTACGCGGATCCCGATAAGCTGATGCCCCGTACGCCGGACCAGCTCAAGGCGCTGTTGGTTGTGTAAGGGTGACGGCAAGTGCTGGGTGGTATGTGATGGACAATGGCTACTGACAGTGCGCTGCTAATATCCAGCTGGTTTATGTTCGGATGTGCAGCATTTATTGTTTTACTGCAATATTGCATGTCACATGGGAGGTGGGTTTGGTGGAGTATGATTGACGTGGGTTGGCATTGAAGGTCAATTATTTTTTAGAGGCCATCCTGTGCGTCTGCCGTCTTTGATTTTAAGTTTAAAGCATTGTCACTAAGATGTTGTTATTTTGCTGTCGCCTACAATATATTGCTGTTATTCTATATTGCAGTAGTCTATCGTAATACCCGTCACAATGACTAATGAGCCAACATTGACCAATTCCTCCGCAAATCACGAAAAAAAGTGTCGATGGCAAGCGCAAAGCCCGAATCATCGCAATGGGGCAAAGTCTTGCAACCATTCGCTGATCTTCGGATGCTAAGCGATTTCAACATACTCCGCTATAGCAAACGACAAATAACCGGCTATCTACAAGGTACTTACCTTTAGGAAGAACATCAGAGCCTGACTGAACAGACAGACGGCTGATTTTCTTTGCTGATGTCGCTCCTCTGTCGCCCACACCTTCATTTTATTTCACATTGCGTACACCAAACACCCACAACCACGTGCTGTTCGACTTCACACAGCGAACAGGCGACGCTCCGGTCGCTGCCTCGTCCCTCTCCTCCCACCCCTATGTACTCACGGCTCTGGAGAGTGATGCGGGGAGCTGTGGTGACGCACATACTGAGTGCACTGGAACACACGGTACGCCAGCGAGGCCAGGAAGTCGCGCGCTGTCAGCAGGCCGGCCACTGGACGCAGAATGAACCCTGTACGACCTGAGGGTCCACGAGGGATGGCTGCTGGTCGGCTTATGGTCGGGAATGGTGTGAGATAATACGCCTCCGTTCAATCCGCTCTGAACTCTTAGTCACTTTGACACTTCTTACAGAAGCCCTACTGGATATGCCGCCCTAACTCTTCAACAACAACAACCTACTGGATATGCAAGCCATGGAATATCTACCTGCGTGATCGCGAACTATTCACAAACTTCGGAAATCGCTCAGTTCTAGTTAATGATCGGTTGCCCTCCTTTGCCCTCCCCCTTTCCAACTTTGCCCCCTCTCTTAAATTATCCAAGTATTCTTCACCTCCTTTACCCTTGTATTATTCCTCCCTACCTCTCCATACCCCGGCTACTCACGGTGCATGAAGCGGGAGACGTCCTCCAGCTGTGGGATGGAATCGGGCGAGTAGCCGCACTCGCGCTGCAGCAGCTCCATGACGCGGCGGTAGGCAGCGCACGCCCCAGTCGGCACACAGCGCATCAGCTCGGTGAAGACCTGACGCCATGTGTCCACCTCCTGCGGCGTGTACTCGACGCGCGGGATCGGCTCGCCCCTGGGGGCAGGTGGAATTTAAGATCGTTGCAATAGCAATACCTCGGCCACATGGAGCCGGCGTGCAAACTGGTATCAGCCTGGAGGCGTGAGGTCGTATATCTTGCATTTATCGGCGAAAAATAAGTGCGTAAGGTTGGAAAATGAGCATTTATGCAGGCTGCTCAGGTATACTGAGTGCTAGCTACAGGGCGATATTTTCCCTGGCCTTTCCTTTCCCTGGCCTTACTTAGTTCCGTTCCCTTTCTTTTCATATCGCTCGAACCACCGAATAAATGTCGCTTAGCTCTGATGTTAGCTGTGTTGTGCTCTCACTGTTTGTAGGTGAATGCGATGTTGGCGATGGCGTGGCGTCGGGCGCGGTACTCCTTATCGGCGAACCCCGGGTGCTCCATGTCAAGGTCTGGCTCGTACTTGGTCATCAGGTGGTTGCAGAGGTCCAGCTCGCTGATGTGACTCGGGTACCACGGCTCTGCCGCCGGAGACATTGTCAGACAGGAGACCAAACTCGATCTCCAAGACATGAGACGGCGCCAGATTTCCCGTTCGTCCTGCGTGATCATACAGGATGTGTGCGCAACGGGATGCGCACTGCGCACACTGCCGATGAACGGATCACCGTCTACCAAAGCATCGCTCGAGAGCGCAGGTCGCAGACATGCAATGGTCGTCCGTGCACCACCCGAGATTGTACTTACGCCCTCAATTCGTACCTTTTACGGCGCTGACGGAACCCTCTCCGAGTATCTCGAGGCCCGCCACTGCCCCGCTCTGGCGCAGTGAGCGCAGTAACTGGCGCAGATCGTCTGAGCCCAGTGTCAGTCTCAGAAGCACCTGATGGGAGGCGTCCGGACGACGGGACGAGCGAGACTCCACGTGCTGCAGCAGGCCGTGGTGACTCTGAGAACGCAGAAACCCGTCAGAGGGGTTTGTCCCTTTCTATGACCGTGTTTCATTAAAGGAAATAGTTCACTTTTAACATGGGGTTTTGAGCTGGAATAGCAGTTTCGTAGCTTGAGCTGAGACTAGCACAAATCAGGAGCTTTTACGGCTCAACGATCACCCTAGACGAAGATATTCCATTTCTCGTTCCGAAGAGAGTGCCTTGTAGAGGAATGCGTGCCTTGCACAGGAATGCAGCCACGTCATCGTCAGCCAATCAGCGTGCTGCTTACAGCCAATGCAGTATGCGTGGGTTTGAGCTACGCAATATGATTGGTCAATGCGTAATAAGCTTCCGCGTCAAACATTATTTTACATAGAATATAGTTCGTCCTATATTAAAATATAGAAAATAATTGATTTTACAAAAAGGTTTTATTTTATTTCATGATTATTTTGAGCATAAAAAATGATAAATCAATAGCAAAATACTGATTTCAGGAAAGTGGACTGTTTCCTTTAATCATTTCAATGCCATCTACCTGCAACCTTTCGGGAACGGCTGCAGAAGTCACTAATTGTGTGAAAAATCTATAGGAATCTCTTCGAAGCCGTAAGGCTTCCCCCGTTTCCCGATCGCTTATTTTTTTCATTGACATCCATTCCAGTCCTCTGTACTAATCACGACTCACCTCGATGGTTTTGATGATGCGGCCCAGGCTGTTCATGCCCGATTTCATGGATATAACGAGCGTAACCTGGAGCGGGCCGGTGGTGGCGGCGGTCTCCTCGCTGGGGGTCGAGGCCGCCAATAGAACCTCCTCCTCAGACAGCGTGTCATCTGTAGTGGTCGATAAAGGAGGTTATGTAAGGCGTATATGTAGTGGAAGAGAGAGAGAGAGAGAGAGAGAGAGAGAGAGAGAGAGAGAGAGAGAGAGAGAGAGAGAGAGAGAGAGAGAGAGAGACGCGAGCGAGCTTGTAAAATGTCAGAAGTGAGTGTCGTGAAAAGCTTGCTGTTTTTTCTTTGTCCTCTTCCCGTATCACGTATGAACTCCGAGGCATATGCAGCGTTTATATTCGGATTCGGTCTGATTCCCATATGAAATGCATGCGGAGACGGATGCAGGACCGGACTCAGAAGATCCTTCCGTCGGATGAGGCGGACCCTATGCACGGATCATTACCTTCACGACCATTCTAAGAAGTGTTCCGTAATGACTACGACCGACCTAATGATCGCGATATTGATGACTTTTCGTCCCATTGGCCACCGTCGACCTTTCCAGCGTGAGGCGTTTGTGGAAACGACAACATTATTGACACGGACCTTCGGGACTTACATGTCGAGTGTGGGAGGATGAGACGTCCACAAAAACATTTTATAGGAATGACAGTCGCAAACAATGATGCTGACATATTTATTATTTACACTGAATTCACGTGGAGAGACGTTGATTTTTCTAATTTGAAATATATTTTCAATGGCTGGATGAAATTTACCTAATAGTGTTGGAATTTAATTGTATCATAGATAAGTGGTAGCGTGTCGCAAGTAGCCATCCAACTCATGGTGTGCCTAGCAATTTTCCCTTCCAGTAGCACTCTCGGAGCCACCGCTGTGACCTCACGTTCGCCACACACTTCCATCAGACCAATTGCTAGATGGGCGACTCAAATAATCACTAATGGCCGCCCTGTGTGCTCTCTGTGGGCGGTATTCAGCTCAGGTGACCAGCACTGGCCATGGACTGAGGAAGGGTAGGGTGGGTGGCCACCTGTGAACTAATGGCTGTCGGCTGGACGGCCACCTCCGGCCATTGGGGTCGTCTCGGGTACGTTTGTATGGCTGTCGATTTCGATGGGTGGCTACCTGAAGACGTTTTTGATTAGTCACCTATGGACGAATACCCGACATGGGTGTCTTTCTGTGACTGTGAGCCACGGAGGCTCTCCCCCTGTGGCCGCTTCCCTGCCGTGGCAGCCCTCGACAGTCACAGCGCTGTTCCCGATCAATGTCAATTACACATCGGGTGTGAAGAAGTTGGTGTCGCGAGCAAGACCGTCCAGCCGACTGCGTCACTGGGACGTCCCTCCCTCACTGTGGAGGGAGCCGAGTCGCAACCATTGTGGTGCACTCAACTGAAAGAAGGCGGTAAAATGCTGCTTCAAAGTCGTCCGCCTTGACAAAACACTCCCGGAAGTAGCGAAAAAGGAAATGAATGGTCCGCTAGGGGGAGGGGTGAGAGGAGAGAGAGAGAGAGAGAGAGAGAGAGAGAGAGAGAGAGAGAGAGAGAGAGAGAGAGAGAGAGAGAGAGAGAGAGAGAGAGAGAGAGAGAGAGAGAGAGAGAGAGAGAGAGAGAGAGAGAGAGAGAGAGTTGTGATGTTCTAGGTTTTCTCGTCTGCTTAATATGTGTTATGTTTCCACTTTCCACTTTCGAGTCGTATTTCAGACTTCAGAATGACATGGTTCTATATAGTAACAAGACTCACCTCATTCACACATGCAGAAAACAACAAGCACTCAGCTCTGCGCAGAAACCAGGACACGCCTCGGTTTACGAGGTCAGCACTGTCCATCAGGTCAGAAGGAGCTTACCGTCGAGACTCTGACGGATGTGGCTGAGCCACTCCTGGCGACTCTCCTTGTTGACGTTGGTCTCAAACTTGGCATCATCGACCAGCGAACGCCGCCGTGCCGGGTACCCGTTCTGAAACGGCGGAAAACGTACGTACGCTTTATACACGCTCTGGGATAGGTCGCCGGTTGGCTCGTCTGTGACACTTACCGTTAGTTTTACACTGGGCAGTGAAGACTGAAGGGGATTAGAAATGCATGTGTTATGATTAGAACCTTAGTTTAGGCATACGTTCGACCCCCCTTACGATCCAGATTCCCCGTCACAAAACGCTGTGACTGAAGCTTTCAACCATTTGTAGGGGCATCTGGATGGATGTCTTGAAGTTCTGACAATTTTGCCGGAGCTTTTCCGTTGTCTGTGCATACAAACCGTTTAAAACACTAACATCATGAAGAAGAAGAAAAAAAGTTTGATGTCTACTGGTGTTATAAGGACCCGTGTTACGTTTCGGTCGTTGCATAAGATCATTGATGTGAGGAAAAATATGAAAATGGGATTTTCATTTTACGATTTAAAATTGCGTGGATAGAAAGGTTTAACACGGAACAGCAAAACATGTGTTGACGAAGTATGCGATGGGAGGATGCTCCGCTGAAATTTGGAAGGCTACATCTTTTACAATTTTATGAAGACTTCATATTAAAGATTTTCAACTTGTATCGAAATCACTCCTACTTTATCTTCATCTTCGAATAATTCCATCATCACTCCGTCGTCTGCCTTTTTGTGCCTCACTCGAAAGACGGGCTTCTTCTTAGTCGGAGGCAACAATAATGGCGCGCAGGCGACGCCTGAAAGGGGCGTATTCGGAGGGCGGCGGACGCACCTCTATGGTAATCGCCGGCAATGTGTTACCGTCCGCCGCCTGCCGGTATTATCGGCCATTAGCTCCCGCGGCACGAACTATAAGTCAGGCTCGGTTATGGCGTTTCCCTGTTGGCACCGAAGGACCTTTGTTGGTGTGTGAGTCGCTCTACGTCAGGCACCGTCAGCAAAATATGTCACACTACTCCAGCTAGGACGTTTTCGCTAAGACTGCATTAGCTGCGACCGTTTCTGGAGTAATTCTGCCATTTCGCACGACATGACCCGGGTGCAAATCATTGGAGGAGTGTAGAACCGAACAGCAGCGCTAGAGCTAATGGTCATTACTATGAAAACATTATTTTCCTTACATTAGTTTCCGTGCATGACCAACAAAAAGGGCATAGTAGGTAAAAAATTACGTGGCTACATGCATTTCAACAGTGTTGCATTTTACACGGGACAGGTTATTTTGTCCGTTTTGTTCTAGCTGTCATACCACAGAAGACAATGACAGCATTTTCAAGGGCGTAACCCGTGTAACCGATCTTATTCATATAGTTATTGTCACCAAATGATCTAGCTCATAAATTGAGTTCATATTATATTTTGATGCCGCGTGTTTATTCGCAATTGTCTGGTTTACAATAGATATATTGACGTCTCACTACTCCCTACGTCAATTCTGCCCGAGACAATACGGCGCGGCGCACTGGCCGGACGTGGCCGCGGTATTAATCTCTGGGGGCGACCAAGTCAACATTGCTGGTAACTGGGTAAACAACTCCAACAGATAGCCGATCAGAATGCCGTCTGCCCCGGTTCTGTCCGGGAAAGTATATCGGCGAGGCAGTTATCTTGCAAAGCATTTACATTGTGTATTCAAGGGAATGAATTGGTGAATGGATGAGCAATATGAGGAGGGGACTAGTGTCGCTGAAGACACAAGATCGGACTAGGTAGAGGAGGGCAACCATTGGATTTTGATCATCACTGGCCAGTGTAGTGGTCAGGATGGACATAGCTTGCCGAGAGCGGAATTGATGGACATTTCACTGCTGACGGATGACCGGATGCCTAAGATAGTCACTGGCAAGGTCGGTTACTGGTTAGGCAGTAGGCACTGGTCATGTCACTAGCAGGGTGAATGGTCAGGTCACTGGGCAGGTCAGTTCACTGACCAGCTCACTCGGTCAGGTCATTGCTGACGGGTGTGGGCTCCTCCCGGGTGACTCGCTGGCCAAGGTCAGTCACTGGTCAGGTCACTGGTCAGTTCGCTAGCCAGGTCACTGCTGACAGGAGTGGGCTCATCCCGGTTCGGCTGTGCGCTGATGTGACACGGCTGATTATGGCCTGGCCCGACTGTCGTATATCCAATCAGCGTGCTCCCGAGATATCCCAGGATCGATTCCGTCTGCTTTGATCCTGTCTGTCAATACCGAGGTTCATACCACCTGCCGACGCGGAGTTACGCCCGTGAGCACATGCTCGTATAAGGTGCGCACTGACCAATGTTGCCAGGTGCTAGCTATTATGTGTATGGCGGTATACTATGCTAGTTCCACGCTATGTACTAGTTGGGGATGTATGGTTTCACAATTCGCATGCTCGTACTTCGTCGAAGCGTCTGACGAATTTTAGTTAGAATTGAAACAAAACGCCCGATTTTTATTAACCCGCGAGTTGCTGGGGGGGGGGGGGGCGGCGTTAAACGCCCCCACTTTTTTCGCCGCGCCATAGCATAAAAACGGCGCGCCGTGCGGCGCGCCAAAATTTGGGTACCTATAGGGAATTGATTGAGGTTTATTGTGACAAAGTTTCAAAAAAGTTGGTTAGAAAATTTTTGAGATATCGAGGTTTTTGTGACGTCATGATTTCTGAGTTTTCGACTAAAAACGGCATACGTTCAAAAAATCATATAAAATCACAGAATAGACATAAAGATATGCCGTAAACGCCATTAGACTGCCAATACCATGAACAATCCAATGGCTATCTTCGATTATTGATTATCGTTCCGCTTTTTCCAAAATCTTGAACTATATCTTGGCAATTTCTCGTGACTACTTCACGACCATGATACATACATTTCTTAAATTGAACTTTTTGAACCAAACACGTGCACATATGATAAAATGAATGTCACCATCGTGTTCTACGCCCAAAATTACCCATAAAACATGTGTCACAGGTTGCGAATGTCAGTTTTGATTTTCGGGGATATGTGCCTACCCGGTTGACCTGACCTTGACCCTGACCTATGCTTGACTGACCCCGCTGACACTCTTGTAGGCCATATATGAAGGATTTGCACCGTTTTGACAGAGTTTATGGCGAGAGGCACCAATTGCAAAGTCCTGAAGTCCATGCTACTGAAAGCCCGATTTCAGGTGTTTGACCTGACCTTGACCCGACCTGTGACCTCAAAATTCAACTTCAAAGTACTCATCTGAAGCGTCTCGTCGCGTTCTTTCGTTTCCCGCCTCGTGCGTTTCGCTGCGCCTATTGGTTCTCGAGTTATCGGCTGGGGGCGTTTAACGCCCCCCCCCCCCCCAACAACGGCGGGTGGCGAAATACCCCAGCCATGGATGATATAACACTGGATTGGTGTCTCGTGGAAATTAACATTGGGATCCGCGACATTGGGATCAGGCCTGCCATCTAGCGAGAGAATTATCGTAAGTTAGGAGCAAGCCGAGTGAACGCCATCTCTCAGCATTATGACACACGTGGGTGTGATGTGTTAGTTGGCTTGAAGTGCATATTCCCACGAGTTGGAGGTAATCTTACTGGACTTGAGACGATAAAAAATGTCTTAAATGCTTGAAAGCAAAAAATGTCATGCAGCATTTAGGTAATAACGAAAATAAAATGCGTAAGACGGTGTGTATTGAAACGCCCAGTCCCATCGGCTTGTACGACCTTTTCAATGGTCATTTACTCACAATAGTACAGCAGTTTGACAATATGTCATACATATTTGGTAGGCTTAAGTACAGGCTCCACGGCACACTTTTTCGGTTTTTCGTTTCGTTTTTTCGCTTTTTCGGCTTCAGTAGACGATCAGCTTCACTTGATAACATTGGTGTAGCTCCACGGCAGCGAAACCGAAAAAACGAAATCAGCAACTCGAAAAAGCGACGCGAAAAATCGAAAAAAACGACTCTAAAAAGCGAAAAAGCGACTCTAAAAAGCGAAAAAGCGAAAAAACGAAGCGACCGTCCAACCCAAAAGTTTGGATCGACAATCAGCTTTTCCAAGGCCCTAAATACAAGGTTGCACGGACTTATTTCTACTAAACCTACCAGAATATAGTTTCCCGGTTGATTATTTAAATAATTATTCAATCAAAATTTCTTTATTATTATCTCGTAATCATTTATAAGCAATTTTATAAATCAACTTTTAATTTGCTTGCCTTTTACTAGCAAAATAACTTTTCTAGTATTGGGTCAACATAGTGGTGTAGCAGTAGGAACCACATCTGGCAAAACCCCAATGCCTACATACAGCAGAAAAGCAGCCACCAGGTGTCGCCACAGTCGCCACTTGGTCGCCACACAGATGTCGCGCGCGTCGCCAATCGCCACACTACCGATTTCCATAAGGACGCATATGTACGGATATGCATAGGAAAGTCGCCCTTAAGGATTACGCTTACATCCTTTGCTTATGAGGTCGGTGGTTGGAAATTGGGAGGGGCTCAGCTATTTTCGACCACGGATATGCCTTTATCACATGATGAGGAACATGCTGATAAGCGTTTTATGCGTCATAACAGCACAAAAGTATTTTTAATCATTTTTCAAAAATAGCCGTTCTGCCGTATCTTTCAGTGCAAGGTGCCGTCGGTCATCCCCGACGTGACGTCACGCAGGGAATTTGCCAGATTTTCCTACTAGACTTCGACACCCCCTGAGCTTTTCCAAGTAATCTTGAGTTTTTCGGCTTCAGCACGTGACGATGTGGTAATACACCTTTTTGCGTTGTTCGATGGCCAATCGTCATAACCATTTCGGCATCAGTTTGGACAAGCGTCATTCAGAATAACCCATCGGCGGTGTGCATCACTGTTTGACGGTCGGCAAAACAGGCTTGACTCCATTTAACCATTCTGCATAACTCTTTGTCATTGAGCACAATGTTCGTCATAGGCAAAACACTTTGTCAGATTGTCATAATGCTTCGACATTTCACAAAATGGTTAGTCGATGTGCAAAATTCATCGGTACTGTGCGTAAACAATGACTGTTTATTTAAAACTT